TTTGATAGTGACCGCAGTCCCGACCTTGACTATCGGCCAAGGCGATGATTTCGCAAAAGAGACGCGCGCGTCCGCGAGGTACGCACAATCGCGACAGGCGGAAAGTTTCGAGGGTAGCGTCGTGTAATCGTGAGACGTCGTGTCGTTCGACACGAGTAGCTAGTTTGGCTTGCGTTCAAAAATCCGCACGCTGCTGACTCAAAAGCCACGTAGTAGCCGACTTGGCTGAATTCGTTTAAATTTAGACGACGACACGCCGACGAGCGTAAATAATCGCGAAACGAAATCTTTACTCGTATCACCCGGTAGAATCGATCCAACTTTCACAAGTTTCGACGTCTGCTTCCAGGAAGCCGCGTTATCGAATTTAACAAAAAACATTAAACTCTTTAAAGCACAGTTCTCCGTTGCTTTAATCTTATCAAACAAGTATTCCATTTATCGTATATTTCGTATTATTTGAACTGAATTGCAGGAAAAAAAAATTAATCTCCCAAACACGTGGAGTTTCTTTGATTGCGCCTTCGCGTGACTCGCGTAGATTTAACCGGCAACAAAAGCCCGACCAAGTTAGAAAAGAGATAAATCGTCGCGTTTGTTACGGGGAGACTGCGTGCTCGACTTGAAAAAATGGTTGCGTGCTATTTCGACCGTGGATGTATTCGACCATTAGTTTTTTTTTCTATGTTTGTGTCATATTATCCTTGACCCAACGTCGGCCTTGCTACGGCTACGCGTATCAGTACAAAAATTAGCTTTTAGTGTAATTTGCTGCGGATCATTTTCGCTCTGATACGCGAAATTACGCGATTTTGCGACGATCAAATGCGTTCCGTTGGCGCTGTTTATGGCTTCGAAGTGATTCACCAAGTTGCACAATTGTGTATTAATAGTAAAAACATTTTGTATATGCTCTGTGTCTGATGAAGACACTGTGTCTGATGAACACATATCTCGATACGCTTATCTATGCATGATCCGCAGCTTGCAAGCCTCTGCCACAGATGTCGCCAGACTTAGGTAAAGAACAACGTATTTGATGTTTGTTGAATTAAGCAAGTATAAAATTCTACATATAGATACACACATACACATATATATATACTGATAAAAAATTTTACCGGTTGAAATTCATAGAGTAGAAATGTCTTTTTTATATTTGTTTGTATCTTTCTGCATGTTTTACGTCTTAAAAATAATTTATTTATATAATACAGAGAACTCCACTTTAAGTTTATGTAAATGCATATCAACGTGTATAGTCTTGTTCGATTATAAACGTATCTCTTGTTACGTAAGATATCGGAAATTATGTGTTGACGTATAGCCAGGAAAGAATGGCGACTAAGGTTTTCCCATTTAGAACAATATAAATGATTCATAAAACTGCAGTGCGACGTTTGTGAAACATTCAAATGAAAGTTATTTATTTAAAGCAGTATTTAAAATTTAGATGAAAGTATATGGTCGCTCTTATTTTATGTGCTACAAATTCTGTTATTGTTATTCTACGTGATTGAAAAGAAATGATACAAAAATTCTTAAAGATAGAATTTTTTAATTAGAAAAATTTGGATGAAATAGCCGTCAAAATGTAAAAGTACGCAATTTATTCCTTCTGATTCAATTAAATGAAGCTAAAAGGAAGAGCGATCGAGATGCTGAAAAACATTTCTTTTTTATTTAACGTAGCTTTAACTATTTCGTGGAAATCTGTCAACTCAAACATGCTATTCATTTTCTTCTACTTTCCTACTTTCCTACTTTCGTAAAGATACCACCCATGTTTCCATGGCGAACGGGTGGTAGTCACGAGGATAGCCTAGCGCGAAAGCAGTCGCAACCGCCGGGTCGATAAGCAGCCACCCCCGCAAAAGAGCAGTTTGTTCGCGACGCTGCTCGTCAACGGTTGGTCAGTCGGTCGGTTTGTTGGTTGCATGTCGGCTTTACATGGGACAGCAATTGTCGCGACTACTGACACGGAGTCTTTTTCCGGGTCGGAGGTCCCGCAAAGACACGGTACCGCTGTCGTGTGATCGTTCTCGAATCTTGGGTAACGTCGCCTCGCAAATGGTACACTAATTTCGATCAATCGAGTCATTGTTTTTTAGTAACGCTTTAAATGGCTGCAAAAACGCACAAAATTTTGCAATTTTTTTTTTGCACCAGCACTTTATGTTCTCCCATAAAACAACATAAGTATTTCGACGCAATTTTTGCAAGACACGGTGTACATTTTGAAAAGCGCGATCAGAACGTTAAAATAGAAATCGAAATTTTGTCGACGAGGCTGTACTTGTTTCATCTGTCGTTCATTCAACACCGCGACATATGACGCGACGTGAGATCATCGTTCAGATTTTAGTGAAAAACTAGAAGACGTGCCAGAAGATTACAACGACGACAATTACGAATACTACTGGTGTCACCGATATCTCTGTTGGCTAAAATTGAAATAGAGGATACATGCTCGCGGTAGTTAAACTGCTAGCCAACCACAAAGTAGCGCGAGTTTCAAGGACGCGAATCTCAGAAGCACGCGAAGGTTGCCGCGGGTTCTCCAAAAAAACAGATAGCTGCCGTCATTCCTTAAACCGACTGATAAAAGCCGCGGTGATAAAAACTCGATAAGAATCTCGAACGAAAACAGCCGCCGTAAGATTACGTCGGGTAACGAAAATTCGATCTGATATTGAATAAGGACAAAGATATGTTTTGCCTGAATCGAGTCTAATTTCGCATGTCGTTAATGCGATCACGATAGTGCTCGGCAAAAACGCGAATGCGAGCGTTAAAATCACGAACGATACACCAGAAAATTCATCCGCCTGACGTGTTTAATGCCGTCCGTTCGCGAGTGCGAAATCGAGACGAACAAGTCATACGCGAGAGTGATTTGCTCGCGTTCTATTTCCAGACTAGTCGAAAAATAGCAGCGGCGGTGCGACTGTGAGTCTGCTGTTTAAAAACCCGCTGCACCGATTACGCGATTGACACGCGGAATGCAGTCTCTCTTCCTCTTTCCCTTTTTCTCCTTCTGCTTCGTGGCATCGTACACACACGATGGGCGTAACGAAATTAAACTCTCGCGGGGTAGTGAATCGCTCTTAAACACGCAGTCCAGATTAGTTTGCGCCGCGCTGCCATCACGCTCGCGAGTAGTGATCCATAGCTGTCGTATTCCCTACGATTCGATCGAGAAACACGTTTTATTTCCTTACAATTAATACGCAAAACTGGAAATCTTTTTTCCAAGGGTTTTCACAAACGCATGTGATTATAATCAATTATTGTATCGGAATTAATTAAAAATAATTTAGTTAGTAACAATTGAAAGCGATTTGCTGTGAGACAATTGAAAATAATATTGAAAATAATATTGTTTAAACTAACAAAATGACTAATGAAACAAATTTGATTCAAATTCTGAAATTATTTAGTTTGGAACAATTAAAAATAATTAAATAGGAGTTAATTAAAAACACTGCCATTAACTAAAAGTGAATTTATTTAATTAATTTATTGCCAACGATTGTGAGTCATTCAGGTTTTTATGCAGTGCGTTTGAAATATTCCCTGTGAAAATCTTAAAGTTGAAGAACAATGTTGATAATTTATAATTAACAAAAATAATTATTACCATTGATTTCGTTTTTATATCAAGAAAGTAATGTGAATTGCGATTAAAATATGAGCGCGCCTTGGCCGATACATCGTCGAATACTGCAACGAAAGCAATTCGAACGATCACGAGTGGTGAGTTTGAGAAAATTTCGATTCCTATCTTCTTCTTGCAATTGGCAATCTTCTCGATAAATTATTGAATCGTGACAAATCGATAATTTTATATCCCTTTCTAAAGTCGGTTTGAAACATTTCGCGAAACATGCCTGGAACGACACTCGTCGTTGACGTAAGTGCATTGACGTGGAAATATCCGGTAGCGGGTCACATTCGCAAAGCCATTTCAAATTGGGAATTTGTTTGTCGTGAATTTTCGAAATATCGCACGCAGTCATCTAAGAATAAAACAAAGTTGGCCTTCTCACGCGATTGAATGAGTATTCGTCACTTGCTAGTGCAAATCGATCACTAAGAGTCGACGACCAAAATTCGCACAAATAATCCATGAAAAGAAAATTACGAAATTAAATTATTATCAAACTTTAATTTAAAAATATGCGATATGCGATTTAATTTAAAAATATGCGATATGCGATTTAATTTAAAAATATGCAATCATCATAAAACAAATATCGTGCTTTTAAAAACAAGTAAATGCAGTTATTTGAAGAATAAAATATTGAATCAAAATTATTTCAAATTTTCCAGTGGAATGTGATATAAATATTCGCTAGTGAAAAGTTCATCACCGATATTCGATGTAAATATGCAATATGAATAAATTTACTGCATCTATTAAACTTGGCTGCAGAGTGCATCAACTATGTCAAACGATTCGTGATGAGACAACATTCTCGTCTGTGATATATATATATATACAATATCTGTTCGCGGCATTATCATCGACGTCATGAATCGCAAAGTAAGGTGGCAAGCGATAGGGTCAGAATAATAGCGGATCAAGCTTAATACGCCGCCTAAGAGGCGACGTAACGACACACTTGAATGATATTTGGAGAAATATGTGAGGAGAGTATGTCAGGGTGATGGAAATGAGAGGAGACATCTGAGAAGACGAGACAAGCGAGCTTTTCACAATGCGGATCATTGTGTTGCGAAGTCTCGCGAGGAAAAGTACCACTGTGTCTTCGATATTCAGAGAAGCGCGACAATAAGTGATAAGAACGAGAGTGTCGCGATATCATATCGAGAATTTAATACTGCAATATATGGTGTAATAGAGTACCTAGCATTTATTCATATCAGAATATATGTACTCCACTCAATTTTGTTTTCATTGTTGATATGTGACGATAGTGTTAAAAGAACGAGATACCGTAGTCAAATATTAAATGATACCGCAATTAAAATATTTAATGATATGTAATTTAATTTTTTTATATTGGATTCTCTTGTTATCTATTAGGAAAATTAAGTACAATTAAATATGAGTAAAACGTTGAAACTTTAGACTAAGATGCATAAAACATTACAATAATTGTTTCAGTGATTTAATTAAATGTACATAATCGGGCTTTTTCAATATTATAATTTTATTAGACATTTTCTCTTTTTTTTATTTAGATAGAATTATACATCACATGTGTAACAAGTTAATTTTTATGTGTAACATTGTAATATCTTAATTTTTTACGTCATTTATGATGATAACTGTCGGGCGAAAGATTGAAACAGTAGCAATGCGTATCTCATTATGCGTTATTGCTCACGAAGTGCATGTTGTGGCAGTGGTGTCAGGTCGCCCAAAAAAATTGCATATTATGAGTACAGTGCAACACTTGTATTCAATATGAGATACTATCGTCTATCTGCTACTACAAATTAGCAAATGCGCCATAAGTGAACCTTCGATAACGCGCGCTAATTCCTTGCAACGCGCGGTGTAGTGTTACACGGGGTGTCGCAAAAAGAATCACTAAACGTCTCTCTTAAATATTCAAGTACATTATTAAGTGATATTTCAATACTTATTTTTAAATTAGTTTTTAAAATCGTATTTGCAGATAATTTTTTAAAGTAAACTTAAAGAAAGATGTTAACATTGTTTTAGAAAAATAATTATTTAAAATTTGATATTTTGATTTGAGAAATTTGAAGAAAGTAAAGTTAGAATTATATGGTAGAAGATTGCTTTTGTAATATACATATATTACAAAAATTGTGTGCTTTTTTGCAGGAACAGAGAAGCTTGAAAGCGGGCGATCTTTCACATCAGGAAAGTAATAATATGGCAGCATCCACCATGAAACTTCAGAGCGACTCGTTCACCTCCGAAAAGGCAAGTGAACATTTATCTTTTATGAAAAACGATATGTCACTAAATTCTAACATTTTATTTATGTGACTTTGCTTTTATATAATTTAACAATTTTAATTATTATAATATATCTTTATCTTCTGAATTGATTTTATCTTTTACCTGTAAAATTCTCTTTGGCTGATCGAAGATCGCGACAACCATGACGCATCGCTTTGCGGAAAAGCTTAAAGCGTAAATTTCTCAGTTTACTTTTGCATTTCTGGCGTACCACCAGATGTTCGCCAAGGAGAGAACGCGCGCGAAAACATCATCCACTACTGGGTACAGACAGTCTAAATCGTAAATCGTCATCCTTAACAACGTTATGGAACGTGGGTGAAACTCGTTTTGGCACGCAAAGTCGCATCGGCGTTAAATACATTTCATCCACGATACACCGCGGTGGTGATTTAAACGCCGGCGAACTCGCGTTCGAGCCTCAGTCGAAAAGTGAATTTACACGGTTCGACAGGCCGTGAAAAGAAAAGCGCAGTCGTTCGGACAAGCGCATTCATTTGGAAAAGCATGATAAAACTGAGAAAGTGCAGTCTCGACTCGCGAATGGTAAAAGAACGCTGTAGAATAAAATTTACTGTATTTAGAGATGTAATAATTTTTTATCTGATTATACAAAAATTCTGCGCGAATATTACAATGATAAAGAAAAGTAAAAATAACATTGAATGTCAAACTCGACAAAATCCTCAATTTTTTTCTTAAAATCTTTTCGAGGATGTCGTTTACTGTAAATCAAAACTTGAGGAATGATCGACAGGTAATTTTAATAATTTACAGAAAGCGATGGCGGCGCAACAGCAACGACAGACGGTCACTTCGACCGGCATCTTCAACCACGAGAAGCACATGGCATCGAGCTCGCAATCGAGCATCACGATTGCATCCAAGTCGGGTGTAAGCGCGTCCAAATCGATGATCAGTGCGGCAAGCGCGGTTAACCAGTTGATGAACGGCATGCGACCTCCGACGGCGGAGGACGAGCTGCTGTCTCTACCCTTGGACGATCTGGATCTGCTGTGCTCCAAATCGAATCCGCAAGATGTGGACTGCGCGATCGCCAAGTACTGCGGCCTGCTCGACAGCTTCGTCGAGCGGCTGAAAACGAGCACCGATGGCGGCAAGAGCGGCGGCAAGGCGCCGCAATTACTCAACAGGGTGAACGAGATCATCCGGAAGGCTTGGGCGGTGCCGACGCACGGCCACGAGCTGGGCTACACACTGTGCAACACCCTGAGGACGCGCGGCGGCCTCGATCTGTTGATGTCAAACTGTGTGGCGAACGACGACGAGCTGCAGTTCTCGTCGGCTAGGTTGCTGGAGCAATGTCTGACCACGGAGAACCGCGCTCACGTGGTGGAAAACGGTCTAGAGAAGGTGGTGAACGTGGCGTGTGTGTGCACGAAGAAGTCCGCGAACTCGGTGGATCACGCGCGCGTCGGCACGGGCATCCTCGAGCACCTGTTTAAGCACAGCGAGGGCACCTGCAGCGACGTGATCAGGCTGGGCGGGCTGGATGCGGTGCTGTTTGAGTGCCGAAAGAACGACATAGAGACTCTACGGCATTGCGCGGGCGCGCTGGCGAATTTGTCGCTGTACGGCGGCGCCGAAAACCAGGAAGCGATGATCAAGCGCAAGGTGCCGATGTGGCTGTTCCCGTTGGCTTTCCACACCGACGACAACATCAAGTATTACGCTTGCTTGGCGATCGCCGTGCTGGTTGCCAACAAGGAAATCGAGGCGGCCGTCCTCAAGTCCGGTACTCTCGATCTCGTCGAGCCGTTCGTCACGTCGCACAACCCCTACGAGTTTGCCAAGTCGAACCTGGCGCACGCTCACGGCCAGAGCAAAAATTGGCTGGAAAGACTCGTGCCGGTGCTAAGCTCCAAGCGCGAGGAGGCTCGCAACCTGGCGGCCTTCCACTTTGCATGGAGGCAGGCATCAAGAAGCGGCAGGGTAACACAGAAATCTTTCGGACAATCGGCGCGATCGAGCCGCTGAAGAAAGTAGCCAGTTGTCCGAATGCGATCGCGTCTAAGTACGCGGCTCAGGCTCTCAGATTGATCGGCGAGGAGATTCCGCATAAACTCAGTCAACAGGTGCCGTTGTGGTCTACCGAGGACGTTCGAGAGTGGGTAAAACAGATCGGCTTTGCCGACGTCGCTCCGAACTTCGTGGAAAGCCGCGTGGACGGCGATTTGCTGCTACAATTAACCGAAGAGAATCTGCGCGAGGACATCGGTCTGACGAACGGTATCATGCGCCGTAGATTCGCGCGCGAGCTGCAGAACCTGAAGAAGATGGCTGATTACAGCAGTCGCGACACCGGCAATCTCAATAGCTTTTTACAATCGATCGGCCAGGAGTTTTCCATTTATACGTACAGTATGTTGAATGCCGGCGTGGACAAGGACTCGATACGCAATCTGTCGGAGGATCAGCTGCTGACCGAGTGCGGCATCGCCAACAGCATTCACCGGCTCAGGATACTCGACGCCATCAAAAACATGCAGCACAATCAGTTCATCTCGTGCGAGTACGAATCGCCCGACAAATCGCTCGACGTGTTTGTCAGCTATCGCAGATCGAACGGCTCGCAGTTGGCGAGTCTCTTGAAGGTGCACCTGCAGCTGCGCGGTTTCTCGGTGTTCATCGATGTCGAGAGACTCGAAGCCGGCAAATTCGACAATAACCTACTGCAGAGCATCAGGCAAGCCAAACACTTCCTTCTTGTGCTCACGCCCCAAGCTTTGGAGCGGTGCGTACAAGACAGCGAGTGTAAGGACTGGGTTCACAGAGTGAGTTCTGATACTTTTTACTCGGAAATATTAAAAAATGCAATTGTTTGTCGGTTTAGGCATCTTAAAAGATTTTTGTAAGATTCAAAAATTTCTTTGTATTTACATTATCGATTATTTTTGCAGGAAATTGTTGCCGCGTTACAATCACAATGTAATATAATTCCGATTATCGACAATTTCCAATGGCCGGAGCCTGAAGAACTTCCCGAGGATATGCGAGCAGTCTGCCACTTCAACGGTGTCCGCTGGATTCACGACTATCAAGACGCCTGCGTAGACAAGTTAGAAAGGTAAAGCGATCTTCCAAACTTCTCTATTTATTGTTACAAAAATATAAATTACACTTATATCTTTTGTTATTTATAATATACTTGTTAAATTAACTATTTGATACTTTTATAATATAATTATATCTTGACTGTGCGGCAATTAGGCATGCATAATTGTTAAACGCATTGTTAAAATTCCGGTTTTTCTCGTTTGCACAACCGTGAAGGTTTATGCGAGGTGAGATGCCCGTGAGATCTGAGCCGTCCGGCGGAATTCCGCGCAGCGTGGCGCCCAAGGACGTGACCCAACCGAGCACACCGGGTAACACAAATATACGACAGCCGCCTAGCTATCAGCGGATGCACAGCAACGAAAGCAGGGGCAGCGACAAAGATTCTACAGGCGGGCGAGACTGACTAGACGGCCCGCCCACAGCCATACCGAGCAGGTAGTTATTCCTGATCGTTTAGCATGGCCCTAATATCGAATTGACGAGCAAATCGATTCGTCAACGTACAGAAAAAAATTTTTAAATTTCACAGAAATGATTAATCTCAGTAGGACTACGTCCTGACGTGGGCTCCTGATGAGCTTGGGTTTATTTCTGCGAATAGACTTATCAGCAATTTCGACTATATAAAACAAATGAGGCAAGAAGATGAATTTGAGCAAAATCGATTTAAATAGATCAAATACTTTTAATCGCTGAAAACAATTAAGTGACGATTCAAAGAGTCTTACTGGTCGTTAACGAGTTGATTTACTGAGAATCGATTTACTGTGAGTTTAAAGCAAGCTTTACTAACGCAACGCTAATTTTTGTTTTCATACAGCCAAGATTGCGAATCGTTCTCTGACAGTCACGACTAGGTCAGTTAATGATATAAATTTTTTATTGGTGTTTAAACAGTGTCACTTCGTCATCTCCTCGCTTTGGCAAATCCATGCATTAAATAAGTTATTATTGTTATATATTTTCAATCTTAAATGTGTTTTCTTACATGTGTGTGCTTGTTATAGATGTGTAGTTTAAAAGAAAATTTCAAGTAAATTTCACTTTAATTAGATGTTTAATCTAAATTTTTACACATAGACACTATATTTATGCACAAATGTCTATTATTTGTCCAAGTAGTACACCATCCTTCACCATGCACTGCATGATGCAATTATATGAAATAAATATTCGGTGTTCGGTATAAGAGTTTGAAAAAAATTAAAATTTTTAAAGACACAAAATATTAACTTTCCAAATAATTCAGCGCAGAATCGTAAGTGTACGTATAAATTTTTTTTATCTAATGCCGAAGAATTTAACAAAAAACGATAAAGAACTAAAAACTTGAATTGTAATTTTTCTAACGAATACGTTTTCGTATTATAGGCTTAAAAAGTCGTCGAGTCCATCTCGTTGGTTAATGGGCCTGCCTCCTACATCGCCGCGCTTCAAGTTTGTACATACGATGCATCCAGCGGCTGCCAGCAGCAGTCAAGCAGTACCTCGCAGACCGCCGCGACAACCTCCCTCACCGTCGACGCGTTCCCGCTCGTTAGAATTGTTGGACCAGCAAGATCAAGAACGGAAGTCGACGATTTCTCCCACGATCGTCCACCGACCACCACTTCCCAGACCGAGATCGCGCAGTCTGGACGGTCTGCTGGACGATGACGTGAAGAAAAGTGCTGGCGGGGAGACCTGCGGACAGCAGAGCAGGCAGGAGGAGTGCGAGAAGAATCGAGAACATCTTCCAATAGATTCAGAGGATAATAAAACAATCTCTCCTTTGGAAGAAAGCCAACAGAAATTTAACACAAAAACAGTCGAATCTAAGAATGAAACCAGGCTGGTTCCTCAAATGAAGATCGAATTCAAGTCCGAGACGGAAGACACGCGAAAAGACAAGAGTAGTAAAAATGTTTTGCCAACACGTCCTCCGAAGCCGAGCCGATGTTCCAACTCAGAAGGACAGTTTTCGACAAACAAGCAATGCGGGGACCGGAAGCGTGAGATCGAAGAGCAGAAAACCAAGGAAATAGTGCAGGTAAGTTCGGTAAAGCAGAGCGATAACGATAACAACGATTACGACGACGACGACAGATCGACGACGTTGCTGAAGACATCGAGAAGCTGTGGTGCGGGATTGGACTCCGACGGGAGCATTACGTCGAGCGAATACGGCGGATCTAGGTCCTGCGCGAAGGGCCAAGGTTCGCTGTTATCGCTTCCAGCGGGCGCAGAGCCCAAGCGTAAACGGAACTTTATGGACAAGTGTGTGAACAAGGTGCGGTCGTTTATGAAGAAGTGAAGCGAAGAGACTTTATTATTTACTTTCGCAAGTTAAATTTTAATCTCGAAAGCGCGCGAGACTAAACAACGATCAAGACATACTCTGAAAGATATTCAAAAATCAACTAAAAAATTGAAAGTCACGTGTTTCTATAATTGTATTTAAAAAATTTAGATGTTTAAAAGGCGTTTAAAAAGTTTTCGATAAATTAGAAAATATTTTTTGGTGATTTTAAAAATCTTAGATATATCTAACACATTTAGAAAATGTGTAAAAAATTGAAATGATTAAAAACATTGATGATTCGACGCCTTCAGAATTATCAAAAATGTCTAAAAAATTTAAAAAGTACATTTGAAAGATGTTTGGTCGAAGACATTTTTTAGATTATTTTCAAATTATTGTTTGTGAGAATCTTCAGAACTTTTTCGGCTGTTGTTTGCAAAAATTTTCAGCAAGTGTTGTTAAGAATTCGTGGCACTATATTATTTTTCATATTTAATTTTGCGATGCGAAAGTACATCCTGAGTTTTGTGCAGACTTTACAATCTGCACAATTATTATCCTTATGTACAATGACAGGCAGCATAAAAATATATATATATATACATATATTTAGCGAAATGTTGTGCCTAAACATGCGACAAGTGTCTTCGTGAAATCTCGAAATTTATAATTCGGGATATGCATGTTTACGTGAATCAGCCTGCTTTTCCAGGTGCCTTTTTGTACTGTATTTTCTCTCGTATATATATAGTATATATGTATGTATGCGCGCGTGCACCACACACATATACACATTCGCGCGCGCACACATATGCTATATATATGGAAATGAATAAATGAATCGAGAACAATTAGCTAAGGCGGCTAGATCGTTATTTGTAATACTATTTTTCTAGGCAGTTCTTTCCTCTTAGAACGCGTTTAAAGACGCGTGTGATTCGCGTGATCACGAATCATGGTTGTTCTTATCGCAGCTAACGTCGGAAATATGTTATACACAAGTGTACGAGGTGTTTGGTAATATGCGCAGTTTCGGTGATATTTGTTTTTGAAAAAATTTTTTTAAATTAAAGAAGAATTTAATCTTTTATTTATAACTATTTAGTTCAGTGTGATATTTTTTTGCAGCTTCTATAATTTAAAAGTTAAATAATTTGGTAATTAAATCTCTAGTCAAAACAGATTATATTGAAATATTGATTATATTGATTATATTGAAATTTATCTAAGTTTTAACCAAAGAATAAGGTTTAACTTACTATTAATTTACGTAATTTGCCCACCATAAAAACTATCTTTTTAATTGATCGTGTACTTTACATATTTTACTATTGATATCAGAAAACAATTTTGTCAATTTGTGATAAAAGATATTGTTACGTACAGTAAGTGTGCTTATTTCCGAACACCTGATACATGATTATGACCGACTCCCGAGATGCGCGGTATTTTATTATTTAACACTGTTTTTATCGTACCAATCGTCGACACGCTCTCGCTAAGAGTCAAAATGACGACGCTTTGATATTCGTAGTTTAAGAGATCCGTCTGATTATCGCAAAACTGTATATTTTACCAAAGTTTCATAAAATTATGAATTTTATTGAGATGTTTGAATGTTTCTCAGAAATAAATTTTATTTAGTGAAATAAGATTACTTACGCCCACTTCCTCTTTAAGTTGAATCCTTGAAAAAATGTTAAAAAATATCGCCTGCTTATTTTTGTTAGTCGTATTACAAGTGTCAAACATTTGTACACTTTACAAAAATAATGCATGTACATTTTATATTATTGCAATATTTAGAATTAGCTTTAATAATTGAGCGATTTTTGTATATTTGATTGTATATATAAGAAATTGTCAGTAAAAGAAAAAAATTATATCTATAAACATTTTCCAAACATTTTCATAAGTGAAATTTACATTATGTAACGTCTATTATAATCCAAATAATAGTATTTTTTCACGTGCACGTGAAAAAAGATAAATAAAATGTATCTAATATCTTTGCGTAAAAAAAGTATTTTGATATTGAATCATAAATTGAATATGTAATCATAATTGAATCTTGGACACTAATCAAACAGCGTATTTTTTATCGACAGAGAAGTAAACATAATTACGTACATCCACAAAACATGCAGATGACACTGCGATCAGTATGTTTTATGGAAGTTACTAGAAATTCAGCTAGAACTTTTTGAATTTAATTGATTTAAGGGGATGTCATATTAGTGAGTTGGCGAGCTTGATTCCGATGGCAGTTGTGATTTTTCTGTAAGTGTGGTGAGATGAATTTTTCCATCGTGCTTGTCAATCGCGGTTTCTGTCATCGTCGCCCGTGAAATGTGTTAATTATCAGTTTTGTGAATCATTCTGAATAGTGTTTTGTTCAGGTAAGATTGTAATTTCCAATTTTTACTTTTCGAATCTGTCTGTCACTTTTGAGGTTAACTTCCCTTTCGTCAAACCTTATATTATCTTTTCGACCATCGCGCGCAGTTATTTGCATAGCTTGTGTGTTGTTATCGCGAGAGATGTTGCTATAAAAACATGCGCTAATTTGAAAACGCGTATACAATTTTAAGGTTATTATATTTCCTTAGGGGTTACTCAGTTTCTTTATATATATATATATATATATATATATATATATATATATATATATATAATTTATTTGCTATAACTCTCTTGGTATTTTTTACTTGTTTTATGCGTTTTATATATTTTGTTAACAATATATATAATTTAAATAACATAATATTTTTTGTTGCAGTACTGTGTTACAGTGTGTATATAGAACATGACAGAGCTGAAGCCATCAGGACTAAGGCCGCCATCCAAGATTGGCAGACCTTGCTCGACCATGCCACCCAGACCGGCAATTCCACCTTCATCGCCGAGACCAGCAGCCAGTGAGTCTTTGACAAAATCATATATCATTTTTTCTTATTGTATGTGTTTTTGTAATGTTGTCCAATACCCATTATTCAGATTTTTAGATATAGTGGATATGACATGTAAATATCTCATGTTGATAAATACAAAATGTAGACACAATATTCTTTGTCACACTGATGATGAACTAGATATTAGAAAATATTAGATGTTCTGTAAAATAATCTTTTCAATCATGAAAGCTAATAGTATGTCTCGATATCTTATGCTTTTCTTAGTTTCGATTCTAATCTTTAGCTCAGATAACTAATATTTTGCTGAAAGAATATTCATCTTAAACATTTTCCAAAAATTGGATTATTTTATTGCACAAACTTTATTGTTGCATTTATTACAATCGTTATACAAATATTATAGGATACAAATATAATGGAAATGAATGAATAGATGATAATGCCAAACTTTTATAAGCATTATCTCATTTATTAATTTCTGCTAATAATTTGTATATGCAAAGGCTAGATCATATCACACGTGTTACGATATACTCTGTGTATGAAAATTAAGTGCGCCTTGTTTTTTCTGGAATATATACCGTGAATGATGCAGTGTGACGCATCTCATTAATCCGCTTCAACGTATACGCACATCGTGCACACGCCTACGAACAGGTCGAGAACGTGAACAAGCGCTCTTACGCGTGCGAGTCGTTCCTCGACCGTTCGTGACGACGCATCTCCCGTGAGAGAAAAATTGGTAAATACATTTAACAAGAAACTACGAGAATTAATAACGAGCTTATCACGACAAATAAATCATGTGAGTGTTTAGTTTTTTCATCTTCTCGAACAACAATATTTTAATCTTTATTTCGCATGCCGTTCGCCAAAAACGTGAAAATCGCAGTAGATCAAGTTAGTCGATGTTACGGAATTCGAAGTGAATTGTGTAGTATTTATAAGAATTATTAATTTTAAGTTGATAATCATTTTTATTTCAGTCTTGTGTTATGATTTATCGCTCAATTGTTAATTATTATTTAATTCAACTTTTTAAACGTTTACTTCAATTGCATACACCGACTAACTCGATTTGTCGCGATTAATCGAGAATGCTCCGCATTTTTAAATGATAAAACCGCTTGTTAAAAAGTGAAAGCAGTTCGTGCGATTAAGAATGTTATCTCGTTCGGAAAATTATTAGTGAATAACTCAGAAATTTACAAAATATCGGAACAGCGATATTAACGATCTTAACGTGGCAGAGATATTTTTCATACTTCAAATAACATTTATTTAACATTGCTATCGCATATCAAATCAAATAAAATATATGATGCATTTGCGTCGATAATAATTATAATAATTGATAGTTTTGCAAAGAAATTGGTCGCGATACACATTATTTTACCGTTCCTAAAGCAGCAATTTTTACTTTGTTTGTAGACAGATTTTTTCTCCACATTGTTAGTTTTTTTAAGCTACACGTTCTACGCTGTCTTGCAATTTTTCCTCGTTTTCGCCAAACTGAATATATTTTCCTTTTACTTCAGTGTTTTTTCTTCTTTTTTTCAGTCAAAATTTGTCTTTATTATCACTGCCCTACTTTTCTGGGGTTTTTCGGCTACAATTTTCGTAATAAGACTTACTTCATCTGAAATGCACAAAATGCAAGTGAATATAAGAAACCGAAGGAAACGTATTTTACGTTAGTATTTTTCCATCGCACAGATCGCAATATACATCTTTGTGCATAACGAATGAAGCGCATTTTCACTATTGACTTTGTTGTTCCATTCAGGGCACGTATCATACCTTATTGGTGCAACTCCATTGCATTGCCTTCCCTGCAATCCCGCGTCGGCTGACGCATTGCGATTATGCAAGTCGTTGGTGTTTATCTCGCGCCCGCGATTTCATCTCGTTCTTTTTTTCTTTTCTCTGATTTGTCTTTTTTCTTTTCTTTCGTCTTCTACACAAGAGACGATCGTTCATCTCAAATTTCGCAACTCGATCAGAAGACTCAAGGTTTGTCGAGCTTGTTTATTTCTCGCGCTACAACGAGATTCTACAAGATGTGCAGGAGTTCAAATTTACTAATATTCTAAATACAATTAAGAAAATTGAAGATGTATCTAACAGAAAGGATATAAGGAAACATTAGTTCTTATTGAAATTTTATTTAAGAACAGTCGATTATAACATAAAACATTAATTATGAAAGCACATTTATGACATAACACAACTTTCTTCAAAATTATCATATATTATTTCGTCACTGAAATTTGATTTTGAATAGCTGATGTTTTTTCTTCAGAATTTATCAGGCAATTTAAAGATAAGATATTTTTATGGTAACAGCGTTTCGCACTGACGTAATTCTCTGCATGGTGTTCTGCCGTAATTGTGACACCGTCGACTAAATATGGAAAGATAAATGGTTTTTATGAGCATGCGAGATTGCTTTATGCTCATTTTTGGATCGCTTCGCCATCAGTTTATACAAGGTATTTGTATTAAAGCCGGTTTTAAGGTCGTCCATTCTAATTTCGTGGCCTGACAAAAATACTATCAGTTCTCAATAAATATTAATAAAATAGACATACATGCTGTATACTAAAATAGTAGCATGTGGCATAATGTGGTAGGGTGTTGTGTTTCTCTTTCTTTACAAATTCTCTTCTCTAAAAGTTGTCTTGGGAAATATATTTGAGCAGCTGAACATCGATTTGGAGGGAAAAATTAACATTTGATATTAATTCTGCATGAATAGCGAAACAAAACAACACGTGGTACAACGAGATATGTTGCAGTCCTAATTCGCTTGAATGTAGAATTCAATTATGGTTTAAGATTATTTTATTATTTGAAATTATTATTCTCTCTCAAAAATTTCGCAATCAGGCAGCAAAGTCATCGCTAATCAATACGTCATAATTATCAGCACAATGATTATAATTTCTTAATTGTGTATTCGAGGGTTTATTACATCATGATCTTGTTACAACGCGAGATGAATTACACGGCAATAATAGTACCTCTCTATAGCTATTAACCTTGTTTACGTGAATATCCACGCTCGAAGGAGCAAAGTGTCCGTACTTCATGGCTGCTTCTACAGATTTACCTTACGACTGTAACGTATCGAATGATCGGGGTGTTATAAACCTTAAATTCGGAACGTGAGAAAATTGACAGAGTAATTTGATAATATTCGAGCGTCGGCAAATTATTAACTCTGCGAGTTGAATATTGAATTAATCCCATTTTAATATTTTTTTTTAATTCTATTTAAACTCTTAAATCGCTTCTTTCAGAGAATTTTAATTTAACGTGATTAAAACTTACATTTTTTTAAGCGATATGAAAAGAATTATTACAAAATTTGATGTTGGAATCTAATTGCAATTAATGACTGATATAGTTATTAAAAGGATAATACAAGATAAATGATGATATAAAGAATTAAGAAGAAGAAATCACGTAACGCGCATAATTCGCAAACACTTGCAAACAAATCATGACGCCATGCTTCCGCGTCCCATGGTACATTAATCATGATTAACACGCTCGAATTAAAAAATATAGTGTATATCCTGTCATTGGAAATCATCATGCGTGTGCAACGCATGTCACATATGACTCTAATCATAGTCTGTCATCGCGCAAGGTTTTGCATAGGTTACGCAGCAACAAAAATCATACTGGATAAATCTCGAGATGAATCTTACAATGTCGAATTTTATATGCGAAACATGTTTCTCAACAAACACCTTATTTTTTTGTTAATTGTTACATTTTCTCATAATAATTTATAAATATTACAATATTTTGATTATCGATATTTTTATGATTAAATTTAAAACAAAATTTTAAATGAGGTTTACTTTAACTTACTAATATCACTTTCATTTTCCGGCTTATCAAAGTATTTCCAATACTTCGAAAAACACGGACGATCGTGAATGTTTGCTCGCGCGTAATCGTTTTTAACAATAGCAGTGATGCAGCGATGTACATAATGTGACGCATTAATGCAGATTGCATCGGCAATTAAAATCATCGAGATCTGTAATACCTCTCGGTCGCCGCGTCGGAGCCACGGTTGCGACCGCGTAATCGCGATTACATCTCGTCAAACAGAGATACCGACCTACGCGATTGACCTACTACGACAAGGCACGCGCCCACCGCTTTTCCATGAATAATTAATTAAGCCGCGAATCACCGCGATACCCGGACATACCAGCGATTCCTTTTGCGGAGTTTTTTTGCGACGCGTACGCTGCGGAAACGTAAGCGATGAGATTTGTGATTGCCGACTTGCAATTATTGTGAGGCTCTTACTGCAGTTATTCAATTTTGATCGGAAAATATCAAATAAAAGTATTAAGTATTAGTTTATTATATATATTAAAAATAATAAATAAGTCACAAGTTACAAATATTTATTGAAATTAAAACAACATGAAATGAGTCGATTACGAAGATAAAATTGCGAAAACATTTTTTTTATCAATTAATTAGAATAACACGATACGATCAATGATCGGTTATTTTAAAACAACCTCACATGATTGCATATTGCACTAGAAATCGCCAGATCTTATCGGCGTCATCTGACGGCACACCCTGACTTGCCATTAACTCGTTCGTTATTGCTCGTTTACATAACTCTCTGTCTTGAACCGATTGTGATCGACTTCCGATACTGATTATCGCGACAGCAATTACAGGACCAAGCCCCGATCCGTTTCACGGCGAACCATTTCTCGTCTTTTCAACGTCACTTCATAATAATTAGTAATTAACTTAGCATATTCTATAATCAACTTCGCGACTCTCCGGACGACGTCACGCGTTTCTAAATTTATTATCGATGTTGTATAAATTAGCCTTGAAAAAATATTAATATGTAGGATAATAGAAATTATTACATTAAAATTCATACATGAATTATGCAATATTTACATTTATGTTAATTTGTAATTAATTTTTATTGGCATTTGTGTATTATTACAAATCGTTATTTTGTATATATTGGTGTTAGTTTGCCGATTTATTTATTATCGAATTATAGCGATTTGCATGGCAATCATCATTAACGCTGCTTGATGTCAAGTAAATTGACTAGAAAGAACTTTAAGCGATGTATTCTCTTGATTATAAGGCGAAACATTTCTCGAAAGCATGTTCTCTGTTTGTTTTCCCCGTTTTTGCTATGATATGCATTATTTTGCATGACAACGGCAGATCAGATGGAGCCTCTCTGGGAAACACACGACCGTCAAATAAACGAGGCTGCTTTGCGGAGAGGATCAGGTAAGCAATCTTGTTTTTTCTTTCTCCTTGAAGGTCGCAATTTATAAAGCTGTTTATGACATCTGCACAAGAAACGGCAATAATTTCAAAACTGGCAAAAATCCAGTCTTGCGAGACATCGTTAAAACTACAATCAATATTTTCACCTTCTTCAAATTTAGAATATTTCAAAGCTGGAAACGTAGCTGTAAGTGTACAAGTATTATTGGTGTACAGTAGTGTGTGGCTCGTGTTATGTGTTTTTGATTTAAACAAATTGGTTTGCGTTAGATGTGTGTGAGTGATGTTGCACATATATATTTTGGTAGAGTATCATGCATGCATAATATAATTTGTAGCAATATGTCTTCTGTACATATAGTTTCGATGAAGGCATTCAAACTTTTTTTAAGATCGTATACTTATATCTATTAAATAATTATATCATTAAGCAGTTAACGTCGAAACGGAACTCTCATCAAGTAAAATTTTGTTATCATTAATTATTCAAGAATTATAAATTGCTTCAATGATTGCTGGAAAAAAAAAACAATTGACTTCAGAATTTCGTTCAACAATTTCATAAAAATCAAGATTGCGACATCAAATTGTCGATATTATTAAAACTGTGCTATGTAGCGACTCGTTCGTTTTTATTTTTCTGTCGGGAACAATACAGATTATATCATGTAACTTATTATTAACCGGGCGAGAGTGTCGTTGACAGTCACATTTCAAAGAGGATTATCTTGGATCTCGCGCAGATACCAGCGTCGTTCTGACCGAGGACACAGACAGCTTCAGGATCGGAGATCGAGTATGGGTCGGCGGCACGAAACCCGGAACAATCGCTTACATCGGCGAGACCAAATTCGCCCCCGGAGACTGGGCGGGAGTCGTCCTGGACGAGCCTATCGGTAAGGATCACCCCGACGATCCTCTAACCGATCGTGGAAACAAGCTAAAACTTGAAGCGAATCAATTACGGAATTGGATTTCTAAAAAATTTTATTTTGTCCTAACTGATGATTAAACTAAGGCTATCGGAGCCGCACTCTTCCCCTTTTCAACGCAAGTGAAGCAAAAGAATTGTCGTCAATCGCGAATAAAGATAGTTGTTCAATCAATAAAAAGATGCAGTGATAAATCGGCAGGAAAGATTAGCGGAACTCGGAAGCAAATCTTGAAGATTCGATCTTGAACTTCAGGGAAGAACGACGGTTCGGTGGCGGGTAGCCGATATTTCCAATGCGAGCCGAAAAGAGGGATCTTCTCGAGGCTCACTCGACTCACCAGGTTGCCGCTGAGCGATCATGTAACGAGCATGATCTCGACGCCGACGACACCGCCCGACAGTGCCAGAAGTGGCCTTTTCAACAAATCCATGTCGCCGTCGTTGAGTAAGGATCGCTGCAAGAGATATTCACCGCGTCCGTAAATTAACGCTGCACGCACGCCAAACGCTGTTCACGAATTTTATTTAGTTTTCTGGTCTTAATTTCTTCGCCTCCCTTTCTCTTCTTCTAAAAAAAATATTTTATGATCTCCGTGATTATAAAAGTAACAATATATACGATTATCAAGTGATGTATTAAAAAAACACGGGACAATACATTTTAGATTAAACATTTTGTTTGAAAAATCAGTATAAAATTGATACAATTCTGTCTAAAAATGTACAATTCTTGATAAAAATGTGAAAATTAAATAATAAGAATAGTGGAAAGGGAAGAAGAACGAAAGAGACAATCATTGTACATTAGATGCTTGAAGAGATATATATTTTAGTTATGGCATTTGTGACAGTGCTTGAAGAACACGCCAAAAGTAAACGTTCAGCTCATTGTAAACAGGCGAAGAACCCACTTTATCAGTTTTCATGTAGAAAGCACGGAAATAATTTAGTTTCATTAGCATGCAACGTGATGACGATGTAACATGATTTAATTTTGATATAATAATTTAATTTTGCAAGAGTAATTATCTCGAAAAATATATCGATTAAAAATGTTTGCATATTTATAGATGCGATGGTGCACAATTTCATTTTTCTAGAAGGAAAAAAACGGAAGGATTATTTAATCTCAAGAGTAATAAGTTTATCGTTAACCATAAATATATAAGAAAAAGGGAAATACATTAAAAATATGTAAATACACGAATAATATATAAACAACGTGAAAAATATGTAATTCAGTTTATCAGCAAAAGAGAAAGAAAAATTTAATTATCATGTAGAAAGAAACTTGTAATCTTAGTTTTGCTACTGTGCGAAAAAAAAGCGAAAAAACACGCCCCAGTTTAAACAGAATAAATTCACTCTGAATTAGCTTTTAATGAATTACCATATAATGATCGCGCATCGCTGAAAACTATGAACACAGATGCATCGACAACAAGCTTGTCCTCCATGGTGTCGCAGCGGGGTGAACTGAGAATAGGCGATCGGGTGATAGTATCATCGAGCCAGGGCAGCAAAACTGGCGTGCTCAGATATCTAGGCACTACGGAATTCGCAGCGGGTGAGTGGTGCGGCGTGGAACTGGACGATTCAGTCGGAAAGAATGACGGCTCCGTTAATGGCAAAAGGTGTGCATTTCCCTCGTCGAATCTCTCAACAGCATTTCGATGTGACCAAAAAAAAACACACACACAAGAATATTCATTCGTCTTCATCGAGCACTTTGTCTCATTAAGTATCTTCGATCATTTAAAGCAGTCGTGAAGCCTTTTTCTAGAGAGAATACGCAGGTCACATGAAGCAAATGTCAAGACATGCATCATCTCTAAGGTTTTTTTTTCTTTAGATTTTATAAGAGAATATTAATCTCCAATGTTTCTGTAAGGAATTTCTCGGTATTCAGTTTAATCTCGCCGATAATCTTAAGAGTCTTCCTTTTTAATTCAATGGGCCGCACGGTGCGTGCGCCAAATGACTCGCGAGACGCTTCGAATGATCGGGATAGCATAATTCGCATAATTTGTCTTTATTCCACAATTCACGTTCCTGAGATTCCGCGGAACTAACCCAACCGTTAATCCAGATACTTCGAGTGCTCGCCCAAGCACGGCCTGTTCGCACCCGCGCACAAAGTCAGCAGGTCGCCGTCCAGCAAGAGGTCATCCATTAGTGTAATGCACAAACCGAGTGGCGCAACCCTCAACGTCTCGGGCCTTCAGAAGAAGAGCGGCTCCCGCGAGTCGCTCGCGTCCAGCATCGCCTCGAGCGTCGTCAGCGCGAGAGCGAGCACGGCGAGCGGCACCACGGCGAGGGTAAGGTTCACCATGCCAGAATGAAGGACTGGGGATATGCATCCTGCAGTCCGCTGCGACGTTGTTGGCTCTGTTTCTTAACGTAGTTATTGAATATGTCGTTGTTGTTATACTTGGTCTCGTTGGTGCTCTTGGTAATTGGTCCTTAAGACTCGTCCTTAAGACTCGTCATGAAGAAGTCTCGCTCGAATCTTCGCATGAAAATAAATAAGGAAAATTCTTCGCGAGGATTACGGACTCTCCACTTCGGAGAAATTTAATTCTCGCATGAAACCGATCGCGATCGATATTTTTCTCTCGTGAAATTACTTAAGGATCAATTCCGCTGTAAATTGTAGTTGATGGTTTGCCGCTTTTTAGGAAGCCTACTCTCTCTCTCTCTCTTTGTAATATACCGACTTATTAACAGAAACTATTGTATTTTAACGTGCGTAATTTTGTGATTAGTGTGTTAAATATAATATTGTTGAAAATTGCTGTCGCCGCACGATTTGATATCATTATTTATTTTTTTTTCTGTTTTGTTTCCGTTACATCCAATATTCCAGAGGCTTGGCATGCGCACGTCGACACCTGCGCGAAGTTCATTGCAGGTGAGACCATAACTCTAATAATTCCTGATTAATTCATTGTTCCCCAATTAAAAGCGATCCTCGACAAGACCCCGGGATTTTCTCGCCGTCCGCAATTAGTTTCGTACACTCCGTAGAATAGAAATTTCGCATAGATGTAAATTAACAAGCGCATTGTGATGCGATACGTTAATTACGATAATTAGCGAGTCGATTAGCGAAACTCGAGCGAACGGTAGTCAACTGCGTTTTATTTATTTATTCTTCACCATTAATTTATTGTTATCGCTCGCCGGAGCTTGTAATATATAGCGATTTGTATATATAATATTAATAAAATCCCACATCTCCTTTCCTCAATTCCCTCCAGGTGAGTATCTTTGCTGCGTCGCTTTTACATATGATGGTTAATTTGTCGTTATTGCATCCGAAACTATTCCGGTTTGGTTTTTTTTTTTTACGCATGAGATTATCCCGATCCAATTTATCTCTAGAATTTCCCGCGACATACTTAGATGTGATGTCGGCTTAATGTCTGCGTTGGCGGAGAAACGACGACCAGCATCACCGAATCGATTAATCAAACTCACCGTCCGACTAATGCGATGTAAAATGTATATTGCTAATCGTGTGTTGTCGATCTAGAATGATGTCTATACATCGACTGCTATCTCGCGCATTGATTAAAGACTCGACGGCGATCTTGTCAAAACTGTTGCATAATGCAGAAAACGAGTTAATAATCAGCTGCAAAATTTTTTATTAACGCTAGAATTTTTTTATTAACTTGTTAGTTTGTTTTTACTGAAACTTGATACATTATAGAGAGTAGAGTGCTATTGAATGCGCAGTATTTGTTAGTTTACTTCGTATATTACAATATTATTAATAAATATAAAATTATACTTATTATACATGTAGGATGTCTCATTTTGAATAATGCGCCTAAATATTTTTTAAAAGTTTCCAAAATGTGAAGACAAAGGAATTCAAATTAAAAAGCAACTCAACGGGATCAGATTTTCGTCACACCAACGTCATTCTGGGTAACTAAAAATTTTTCGAAGTTTTTATGCAATTCTATATTTTTATATACATTATCAAATTTTTAAAAAATATATAATATACCATTTGCAAAACTCAAATGGACCTTGACCTACCTTTGGTAGAAGCACTCGAGATAATTGAAGTCCATCTCACGTTTCTCTTGCAACTTTACAATTTTTATTTGCAATTTTTTTCAATGTTATATTTTCTCGGAATATTTAGGTACATAATTAAAAATGAGACATCTTGTATTTAAAGTTATTATTTTTCAATATTGCAATAAAGCTTTTCCCTCAAATTCTTTTAATCATCGTGGTTTTAAATTAGCAACTTATACTTTTAGGAAGTTTTGAAAGAGAAACAGCAAGAAATAGATATCCTGCGGAAGGAGCGAGATCTCGAGCGCGAAAGAGTCACAAAAGCAGCGAGTCAGGCTGATCAGGCAGAGCAATCGGCGCTTTCGATCAAGCAAGAATATGACAAGGTAGGTATTTCCGGTATTAAAAACAAAGCACGGCGATAGATCGATCTCTGAACAGGGAGAAAAGGCTGGAATCACGAAATGTTTTGTCTTTTATTATTTCTTTACGTTTTCTTGTAGTGAAGCTTTTAAAGTTTCCAAAGCTTTATCCCAGTTTTCAGATCTCTCTGTTTCCAATTTTTTTTTAAATTGTTATTCTCATCGTTGACGATGTTTAGTATCGCGAACAGATGCAAGAAGTGGTCAGCGAGACGGAACTCACTGTCGCCAAACTTCTCAGCGAGAAAAATGCACTGGCGGTACAGCTGGAAGATGAGAAACGGAAGTGCGAAGATCTTTTGTTCCGTTTTGAAGAGGAGTCCGTGAATAAAGACGACATACAGGTACGTACGCTTATATTAATATATCAAGTATATAATTCAAACGCATAATCATCTATCATATATGATAAATGCTGAGTATCTCATTAATGTTTGGAACATTCGGTAAGTATGCTCACCCACATTATAATTTATTCATATTTTGTCCGATAATACGTATCGGATTGTTTCAGAAATACTGATTTTATCTTAACGACAACCTTTTTCATGAATTTTGAATCGATTTTATTTGAAAATGAATTTTGTGAGACATTTGCATTATCGTTTAGTATGCTCTAGATATTTATTACAATAAGGATGAACAATGTATAAGTTTGAAGATTTAGTTGCATTACCCTTGTTTTTTTTAAAGATACACTTTTGTTCTTATAAATGTACGATGAGATAAATATTGGGAGATTTTGGATGTGGTACATCATTCAACAAATATACACGCTTTCGTCGTAAATGCGCAATACGGTACGCAAGCGGGACATAACGGTGGCGGGCGATGTTACAGCATATGCTTCGCTACATAGATTCGGCAAATCAGTAATTTTTTGCAGCGTTAAAAAGTTATGCGAACCCAGCAAAAATATATAGAAATTCCACCCTACTGAAATTATTCTTAACTTTTGGTTTCAAGCTTCCCCGAATTTGATTTAAACAATCCAGAAAAGAAAATCTGATATTTTTAGGAAGAGAAAGTCACAAATTCAGTTCTTTAGTTAATCTGGCAAAATTATCGTTTATTTTCAGAAAGAGAGATCTGAGCAAAGTGTGAGTATCCGAAGGTTCGGAGCCGTGGATGGATTGACGCAGTATTTCGGCACCGCTTGTTTAATCATCACTCTAGCCATGTCATTTTGCATTTCGTCGCAATTCTGTCAGAGATTCTGAGCCTGACTGCGCCTGACGCGCAAAAAATACAAAAAAAATGCTACTGCTAACTAACTTTACGGCCGTACTAACAATGTTAAATTGTACACTATATCGAAATACCCCGCCTTATTAATCGCGTGTTAGTCTGGAAACGCGCGCGATAATTCCACATCAAACGTTTCTTAAAGTACAAGTTATACAAATTGCTGTTGTTTATGAGAAGTTTTGTTCCTCGCGATTTTAATCGTGCATAGTATTTATTAATAATGTTAACTTAATTATTGCTTCATTGTTGTATGATTGAGCAACGAGAGCTTTAAATTACACGCTTTATATGCACAACAGTACAATTGTGGAACAATATTAATGTAGGCGTAACGTATTTATTTATTACACACGTTTATTTATTTATTTATTTATTTATTTATTTATTTATTATATGCATTGTATCTGGTTTATCATTTTTTTAAATATTTTGCTGCTATTTATATATTATTTAAATAATCTTTTCGTTCGTTTGTGATGTGTGTTTGTACGTTCAAATATCAAAATTGAATAATATGCTTTTTGCAAATTGGGCACACGCGAACAATTGTTTATTGACTTCTCTCTTTTTTTGCTAATGAAAGATCTGTTTTTTTTTTTTTACACTAACAGTCATCTACGCTTCGTATATCTTGATGTGCTTCTTATTTTTTTATTTATACGCTTTCGAATGTTAATACGCTTATTATTTCCATAGTTATTGGAAATTGAAACAATATTTCTGTCAAAAATCATTTTGTATTTATTATATATAATAATCAAAATTTTGTTTCTCGTATCGCATAACATACACATGCATAAATAAAAAATTGTATAAAGAATTTATTATCAATTTTCAGATTTTGACATTACAAATAATTATAATTAGAGGCCATATAAGTCAGACTAACATTATATTAATTTTCCTGTATCGCAGTTACCAGTCAGTTATATTTTGAATGTGTATAAAGAAGGATAATGAATAATCTAAATCTTCTTCATCTGTCGTTTCATTGTTACGATAAGAAAATAAAATACGATAAAAAAATTTACTGTGAAAGAATTTTGCGATTGGATTGCTATGTAATTTTTTTCAGAAATGAACTATTTCTTGTGCAAATTGTTTTATATTTTTTATAATTAAGGAAGTAATAATCTGCGATTTAACGCTCGAAATGCGAACATTCAGTATATGAATTTTGTACTTCTCTAAAGACTAAACAGCTATCCTTATTATACTAGGTCATAAATACTGTAAATGAAAGCAGGATCAAGGAGCTCGAAGAAGAACTCGCAGAGGAACGGCGAGAGCGCAGCGTTCAAACGGAGCGCGATAGCATCAAGCTTTTCGAAGCCGAAGAGGAATTGGCGCAGCTGCGTAATAAACTCAATTGCGCGGCAAGCTCGCAGAACTCTCAGCTTCAAGGTACTCGCAATAAAGCTGTATCTGAACGTAATTTATATTTTTTGACTCCCTTGACTGACTAGAACGTACTTTCAGAACTGCAAAGTCGCAATCAGAGCTTGGAAGAAGTAAAAAATAGTTTGGAGAAGGAAGTGCAGGAGAAATCAGATCTGGTGAACGAAAGCGTGGAACGTATCCGAGAACTAGAGATTGTGGTGAGCAAAACGCAACAAGAGACCACGACGCATAAAGAGTCCGAGAGCCGTCTGGAGAAGGAACTGGAAGCTGCCAGACAAGACTTGCAGAGCAAAGAAACATTGGTGAAAAATATGAAGGAGGAATTTGAGAAGAATACCAGTTTATTGAATGATGAGCTGCGAAAAACGCGGGAAACGATCGAGACGATGAAGAAGGACAGTGTTTGCGAGAAGGACTCGCTGCTGTCCAAGTATCAGCAGACGCTCGAGGAAAAGGAACAGTTGATCAAAGTGAAGACCGAGGAGCTGAGGGACGAGTCTAGGAAGCTGTTAGAGCAGCAGAATGCCGTTCTAGAGAATCTGAAGACCGAAAACGTTAATCGTATCCGTGAACTTTCAGAATCTTTCGAACAACAGCTGCGCACGAAGGATTCGAAATTCGAAGAGATCTCACAGCAACTCAGTCAGAAAATATCTGAAGCTGAGAGACTGTTGGCCGAACTGGCCGCTGAACGAGAACTCTGCAAGAAGAAAGACAGGGAGCTGATCAACGCTCTACAAAAGTTGGAAGGTTTGTTCTATAAAAAGTGAAAATTAATTAACTTCATTTATTTTAGCATTTATTCTTAGCGTTTTTTATTTTAATTTATCGTGCAAATAATCATTACGTTCTCAAAATGTATAATAAGCGATAAATTGTTGGCAATTTTATTGGGTATATTTTGTAGAACTAAGTACGAGGCTCAAATTGGCCGAAGAAAACAACGACGCGTTGTCGAAACAAATCCAGCACTACAAGTCCAAAAGTGACGACAATGTCAAAATAGTTCACGAAAAGCAAAAATTGGTAAGCATTTTTTGTTTTGCGCGAATGCAACATTTATGACCTTATCTAATCGTTGCAGGAGCAAGACCTAGCCAGTTTAATCTCGTCGGAGGAGCAATCCACCGCGCAACTAAACAAATTGAGCGAGGAGCTGAGAGTGAAGGACAAAGAGCTCGAGGAACTGCGAAACGCTACCACAGCGCAAATAGAAGAAATAACTAAACGCTTCCAGACTCAAATTAATGATAAAGTCAAGTACATCGATGAGATAAACGCGGACGTCGCACGGAAAGCCTTGATGCTCACTAAATTCGAAAAAGATTTCGCGGATATGAAGGTGATTATAGCGAGCAAGGATGAGGAGATCAAACATCTTCTTGAGAAAATTTCAGGTAAGATCAGATGTGAAATATTTAACATTGCATTATATGTAAAATTTAAGAAATATAGATTTTCTGAAATTTAATCAAACCGTTCTTAGTTTATAAATGTAATAAAATTAATTATGCGCCGATTTATATTTAATCCAAGGCTCGCTTTTTCAGAATTGCAAGACGCTCTCACATTATCCGAACAAACGAAAACGAATTTGGAGAGCGAACTACGCGGATTCGAAACGAACGTGCAGAATTTGAATCAACAGGTCGTGAGGGCGGAAGAAAAAATATCTCAACTTTCATTACAGAAGGATAAACTGGTTAGTATAGAAGCTAGTCGATAATTAATAATCAATCAACTAAATTAATCGTCGAAATGTAAAAAATTATAGGAGTCTGATATAGCGAGTGCGATTAACTCTTCTGCCGATTCGTCAGAACAACTGTCGAAGTACAACGAGGACTTGCGAAAGAAAGAAAAGGAATTGGACGAAGCTCGCGAGAAGATCTTCCAAACAGAAACTACGTTGAAACAGACAGAAGGAAAATTGACCGACACCAAGACGGAATTAAATAAAAGCGCGGTGTTAGTCGAGCAGTTGCGTTCGGAAAAATCAAATTTGGAATCTCAAATAAACGATGCTAAAAAATCAAATACGAATTATGCGAATAAAATACAGGAACATGAACGAAATGAGAGTGAATTGTCGGCGAAGCTACTGGAAGCCGAACGCGTCAAGAAAGATTTGGAGGGAAAATCTGGCGAAGTCGTCCAGCTTGCGGAGCGATTGACGAAGAAGGAAGAAGAAATCACCAATCTTCGCAAAGAGTGCGAAACCTTGCGAAATTCCCACAAAGAACAGACATCTTCCTTGCAGAAAAATGTCGCTGACTTGTCGGCTGAATTGTCAATCTCGCGAAACGAGGTAAAAGATTTGCAACAGTCGAAAAACAAATTGGAGATTAATCAAAGCGCGGATCGATGGTCGATCGAGGAATTGACAGAGAAGTTAAACGCAGAAGTGCGTAAAACGTCGGAGTTGGAGTGCTTGATTCAGAAAAAGGATGCACAGCTTTGCGATGCGGAAAATAAGTCATCGGAATTGCAAAGGATAAACGAATCCTTGACCACCGATAAGGAGACAGCCGATAAGAATTTGACCACGTCCTTAAACACAATGACTAGCACGGTGGAAGAGTTGAAGAATAAGTTAAAGGACGCCGAAGAGACAATCGTAGATAAGACGAATCAAATATCGAAGACAAAAGCGGAGATTGAAAAATCGCAGGAACAGGTAGCTGAATTGAACGCTACAATCTCCTCTATGAAGGAGGAACATGGTCTCAATTGTAATGAGCTAAAGAACGCACTAGAAGCAACTGCACAGAATCAAAGCGTAATAAACGAATTGACCGAAAGTAGAACTACTTTGGAGAATTCAGTAAAGTCCTTGGAGATTCAATTATCGAATCTGCACGAGGAATTGAATAAAAGAGAGAAGCTGCGAGCAGAAATGGAAGCTAAGATGAAAGAATTGGAGACTTCCAAGGAGGAGGAAATACTGAAATTGCGGAAAATTTTAGAATCCGAAGTTGCGGCTAAGCAAAAAGAGCTTGAAGATATACATAGGCAAAATAAAGAATTTGAAGAACAGTTGCGGATAACTGTAGATAATCAGACTGATATAAATAAGAAAAATGAGAAGTTGTTGGAGCAGTTGCGGGACATTGTAGATAAACAGAAAGCGGATGTAAGTGATAAGGAGGCAATAATCGATAAACTAAAGGAGCAAATAAAAGCACTGGAAGATACGCAGGTAGAAGGGGTGAAAGCGATGCAGCAAGCGCGGAATGAAGACATCAAGATGAAGCAGAACGAGCTGAACAGCGCGAACAAGCGAATCCACGAGCTGCTGCATACGTCGAACGCTCTGGAAAAGCAGCTGAGCGAGCAGGAGATTAAATTGGTCGATCTGACGAAGTGCAGAGAGAAGCACGAGAAGGAGCAGAATAAGAAGATGGAGAATTTGTTGGAGAAGCTGAATGTCACCGAGGCGGAGGAAACACGGCTACGGGACGAACTGAGTCGGTTGGAGAAGGAAAACAAACAAGTCGCCGCGAAGTGGACAGAAGCGACGGATCAGCTGAAATTATTGCAGGAAAATCTGAAGAACACTTATGACGGCACGGGAGATACGAAGCAGCACATCGTCGCGAAGAACATCGACGTCGAGAAGAACATCGACGTCGCGAAGCTGCAGGAGGAGAACGACACCGTGAAGAGTCAGATTGACTTCCTAAACTCCGTAATAGTCGATATGCAACGTAAGAATGAGAAACTGCTGTGTAAGATCGAGGTTCTCGAGATGGGAGTTCCCGCGAACGAAGCCGACGACTATACTCGCAGCACGTTGGACAAACGAGCAGCGGCACCTCGTATGTTCTGTGATATTTGCGATCAATTCGATCTACACGAGACAGAGGACTGTCCACGACAGGCCCAAGATTTCTCGGAGAGCGTCGAGAGGGCGGCAAAACCCCCGAAAAAGCCACCCGTCGAGAGGCCGTACTGCGAAAACTGCGAAATGTTCGGGCACGACACTCGAGACTGCGACGACGCCGAAACATTTTAACGTTACGTTATTGTCCGTAGACTCCTTCCATTCGCTTATCAGATGTCCCGCAGCTGTGCAAAAAGGTTTGTTAAAACTTACAGAGTATATTTTTGTATGATGAATTTTTCAATTGGATCCTAAATCCGAGTATAAGTCTTCCCGCGTAGAACGGGCACTCGATAACATCCCGAAACATTGAAAAATATATGTTCCCTCCAAATGACGTGATTTCATTAAATCTTAAATTATTCTTAGCACAATTTGCGCGAACCATTGTGACAGTTATTAAAATTCAATTTACAAATTATATCATTTATTTTAATTGGATTATATCAAACATTATTTTTAACGCTCCTCAATTGCTTTAGACATGAAGAAAAATTGAAATTATCGGCATTCAGTTGAGAATAATAATTTATTATTGCTCTCGTTTCCAGATATATTTGCAGGGGGCATACATTTATGTTTTAGCTTTGATACCTACTTTGTAATACCTTGTGAGTTATGTATAAGTATAATTTTGTATATACTAGGTATTCGAATTAGTTATCTCTTTATTTAATATTTATTTTCCGCGTTCGCGCGCTTTATGAAGACAGTTCCTGTAGTGCTTGCGGGTAAACAAAACGCAGTTTCAGGCGTGAGGCCTCAATTCACGCCTCTTTTCGAACATGATATACTCCCATAATACTTTCCGTTAAGTAATTCTTTATAGTTTTCGTCTAGTAAGAAGAAAAAAAATAGATACGCATATATATATCTCGAAAGATTTTGAAGCTGACTTAAAGAAATATCGTGACCTGCTATTGTCTTGCCTTTTTGTTACGAATTCTAGGACTGAAACCTATATATATTTTTTAAGCCAATCATATTGTAACACATGCAATGCATTGCAGATAATGCTTTGTAGAGTAGACTGAACAAAATCTCATATAAAATATCTGCAGAATTTTTCTATCAATAAGAGTCCTTCCTGCACTTGTAGATATAAGTATGAATTTTCACGCATAAGATTTTTCCAGTTACAATGTTGAGTTAATTTATATTAACAATCTCCGCTTCCCTTTTTGCTTCAAATCTTCAAATATCAATCAGGCACATCTCTGATACAGACATATCAGACTGTGTCTGACTTCAAATGTTTAATGAATGAATCTGCAGAGAAAAAACCATGGAGATTATTTCTGGGAGAGTTGTAATTCCGTAACTTTGTTTTATGAGCATTGTAAATTTGGATTAACAGCAATTTTTCAGTAACATATTTATTAAACTGTTTTTGAAAACCAATTGACATCTTTTTGTCATTCGAGAATCACAATTAGCTTTAGGAATAAATTAAAGAAAAAATTAAGTAATTGATTCTAAACGATGCAGAATTTGTTACAATCAGCAATTTACATTAAGCTGTGAGCTTATATGTTACACACACGTCTTTCTCTACATTAATAGTTGAAAATTGAAGTTACTATTATTTAATATTTCATATATTATATATAAAATATAATATATGAACATATTATATGTATACATGCTTGTATTTTATCCTTCCAAATAGTTCTTCCGCAATGTTTAACCATATAAATGGCATAATATTTATAGATTGAAATTGTCTAAATTAAAATTAAAAACTGCGAGATTTATAATGTTAGATATATTGTAATTAATACTTGATTGATAAATAAAATGCGATATGAATGATGAAGTATATATGTATAATTAATTTGCGCGCACAATATACATAGAACTTAATCGACATGTATGTAAAATAGCTGAATCACATAAATTTTTGAAACAAATAGGCTATTGATACGCGATATTTTTATACGAGAAGATAAACTGAAATAATTGGAAACGAGTTAAACGTATTGAAGGAAAGAAAGAATCGAGTCTTGGTAATATTATATATTTATTTTTGTAATCTTGGTTCTTGCACTTTTAAGCTTATGTCTTATTAATATTATTTTTTAATGTAATAAGATATATATATATATATATATATATAATTAATAGAATTAGAAAAATCTTCACATAAAATATTGCAATAGTAAAATAACTTTAATTCTTACTATAAAGAAACAGTAATTCGTTTAGTTTATTAGTTTATATGAAAAACATGTATACAAACATCGTTAAAAATCAACACGGTCGCGAGGAGCTGGACACATCGCAGCGATCATCGACAATCAATAATTTGACGTCGGTTTGTATCGATCACTGCATAAAAACTATTGTGCTTAATTTTTAGTGTAAATTAATACGTGTTAATTTAGACAGAGTTTGTGCCTTAAATCTTTCATCATGGCAGCTTCATACGGCTCAAACATTAATAAACCTTCACACTCAAACATTTTGGAAAACGTGAAAATACAAAAGAATGCGGAAGATAAAATGTTTAATAAAATCATGCAGATAACAAGACGTGTATATATGAAGCTGAATGAAGAAATGGCGTTACTTTCGTCACGGATACTACTATGGTTAGTATAGAAGTTTCTTAATAATCAATTAATAATTGGTAATTAATTAATTAATTAATGATCGAAAATTTATAAAATTTTAGGAGACTTTGACAGCAAAGATAGTAGACTTTGTAACTCGCAATCAGCAAGAAGTGAAACCGCCACAATTTCATAATACTATTCATTAGGAGATTCTTTTAAGCGTTCTTTTAATAGAAAAAATAAAATTAATGTATAGTATGTCTCGAAAGAATCTGAAAACAAATTTCTATTCAAAATAATGTTTTATGCTTTTTACTACGAAGGACAAAATTTTTACACGAAATAAAACTTTTTGATTGATTAATTCTTCTATTTCTAAATATAAGTGTATATAAGTTTAGAATATAAGATTTTTCCAATTGCAATATAAAACTGATTTATATAAATCTGTTAGCTTCTTGAAATTCTCTTGTTTATTAGATATCATACTGAACTATGATGCAAATATTTAGACAGTAGGAAACAGTAAGAAACTGCAGAAAACTATGATCTCTCTCGAAATCGTGAAATACAGATTCATGACTTTATTTTATTGCATCATAACTGCGATCAATAGTAATTTGTCAGCAATACATTTATTAAACAGTTTTTAAATAATCAATAAACATCCTTTTATTAATAAAAAATTAGATTTAATTCAGGGATAGATCAGAAACAAAACACTAAATAATCGATTCTAAAGAGTGCGGAATTTATTATACTCAATAACCTGCATTAATCTGTAAGCTTACATGTTGCGCACATATCAAACGCAGACATCTTCTTCCACGCTAATAACTGAAAATTGAGAAATTCGTTCATTTAATATTTCACATATATTATATATATTATATAAAATTATATATAATATATGACTATATATCTGTATTTTATTTTTCTGATAGATTTTTTCTGCAATACTTGGTTGTATCAGTGGCATGATATTTATACATTACAGTTACATAAATTAAAATTAAAAATTGCAGGGATTATAATACTAAATACACTGCAATTGATACATAATTGATACACAATTGAAAAATAAATTGTAAAATAATTTAATGAAATATGTGTAATAAATTTTCATATGTATGCACAGAAATTAAATTCTCGCTAACGATTTAATTTGAAGAAATATACATACATATGTATACAAATGTATCAGAGAAAAATTGATATATTTTGTGCGGTCTCGTAGGTTTATTCTTTTTCCACAAAGTATTCACAAGGTGGAAAATGCTTCTTTTCTGCTAAAAAAAACTAAGAAATTTAATTTAAATTATAGTTCAATACTCTATAAATTTTTAATTTTCTTACTGCATTTTGAGCAATTCTATGATCACGAACAAAAGAAACTGGAAAAAAAAACATCTATTTTCAAGATATTTATTTATTTCAACACACACTGTGGACAATTATTGGAATTTCACAAAATGTTTCTTCTAGTTATTTTTTGTTATTTACATAAAAAATTAACATTTACTCCTACAAAAATTTATAGGATTAAATGTATTTGTTATTCTTTAATTTTAATTGAGTTTAATTCTATCAATTATAAATTTTCAAATTCATAATGAATTTGAAAATTTGTAATTGATATAAAAATATTAAAACCTTCTGTGTAGAATAAAGCATACGAGACTCTCCATTCTTATATAATCAAACAATAATTTATAATCCCACAAAATATATTGTTTTTTTCATATTGGTATTGTTCTGATCTCTATATTCTGTGCATTTATGAATTTTTAAAAAAATTATGTATGCACGTGTGTTTGTCTACGTCTGCGTGATATTTTGCAAAAAAAATTGATCACTGAAATAAGACACATTTACGATCAGAAAGTAATTGAAATGAATTCAAACAAATCAATGATTCAAAGCAAAAAACAAATCTCAATAATATTATATATCTATCTTTTCAATCTTGATTTTTGCATCTTTAATCTTATTACCGCTCTTATCGTCGAGAATTTCATTTTTTTCATTTTCTTTCTCTTTTCCAGGCTGCTTCTTGTCCGAATTGCGGAAACGATCGTATCGCGAATCTTCGTCATCGCTCGATTTTGATGCCCCCGCTTCACTTTCCCGCAATATATCGCCTAGATCCTTATCGACATCGTCCCAAGTTCGTTTATCGCCACCATGTGCGCGATAATCGTCATCATCATCTTCGTCACCCTGATTGCTTTTACCATCTTTCAAGTTCTTTTCGGATTCCACGTTGCTCGATTTTTCTTCTTCAATCTTAATATATTCCACGTCGCAAACACCGTTATTATCAAGCGTAACGACAGATGTGATATTCGCTGATACTTGTGGCTCAGAGTTGACAGGAGAAGTCTTTGCTACCTCCAATGTATTGCTCGCGGTTGCGCTAGTAGGATTCACACTCGTTGAAGAGGACGACGATTGCAAATGTATTCTTTCCGCTTGACGCCTGAGCGCCTTGTCATCGTTGTCTCGTACATACCTGTAGCACATGCGCAATTGTAAATACTGCCGAATGTATCAATTCGTTCATGTTAAATGTATTACCGTTTAAGATGGCTGCGGGTGGAACAATGCGCAGCAATTGCCTTTTCCGTACTTTCGTTGCGAGTTAAGTATATTTTGCACAACTCGCAATATTGTGCCTCGACACGCTTTATGTACTCCGCGCCGACTTTTATCATCTGTTTGCTCTTTGATTTCTTCTCCTCGTTCGAGCTCTCACCTTCAGCCTTTTCCTTCTTTTTATCATTAGACTCTTCGTCTTCTATAAATAACATAAATGTAAAGCGTTTAAGGATAAATGCGCGTGATTCAACGAAGAATGATGAAATACTCTAGCAAATTAGGAATATTAGTTGCGTACCATCCACGTCACCCACGGAGTCTAAGGTCATGAAATTATCAAGATTAACTTCCTTGTCATCTTCTTCAGCTGCGCTAGAATCAGCTTCAGCTTCGCCGCTACCATTCGCGTTCATTCTTTCCCTCAATATACTCTTCCTCTGCGAAAAAAATATTATTAATTATAACAATTTTAATTTACGTCAATTATATATATATATATATATATATATATATATATATATATATATATATTAAATTATACATTTTCCAAAGGAAATTGATAACGTTAATTGCATTGATTAGCGAGACGTAAGGATTACCTTGATGTGCTCCAGAGAACACATATGCGTCTCGAAAAACATCGGTGATCGGAATTGGATGCGACAAACACGGCAGAACGGTGTGAGGAATCGTTTCATTTGACGGTGAGATTCTGACAATTGATGAGCGGATTTCAAGGAACGGTAATTCAATTTGCAAATGGCACAGAACATGGTGCGCGAGGGTAGAGTGCCGCGTGCTGCATCGCGCGCCTCGATACGTCTCTGCTCTTGCCGTTGAACAACTCTCATGCGCGTGAGAGTCGCCTTATGTCGAGCCGCGATGCGTTTCATGGCCGCGCTATGACGGCCGGAGAACAGATGGAGCGAATATTCCTTAAACGTCACGCTGTGATGGGCGCAATGCGGACATTTCAATTTGATGAACTTTCTGCCGTCCCGTCGGCTCGGCAGTTCTTCGGAACCCGCGGTTCTCTCGCGCTCCGCTTTTTCGTTCTCGTCTCGCTCCTCGTCGTCGCCTTCGTCGTCCTCATCCTCCTAGGAATCCAATGAAAGGTGTGGAAAAAGAAAAGGATAATAGTAGTGTTAGTGCTATAATAGTAAAACAACTCACTTCCTGCTTCTGATCATCGTCCTCTTTAATATCCTCATCCTTTTCCTCTTCATCCTCGGTGTGCTGCCGTTCCCTGTCCTGTTTCTCCTTCTTGCGTTTATCCTCCTTCTTTTTCTCTTCCTCCTCCAGTTCCTCCTCCTCGTCGCCTTCGTGCGGCTACGTGACACGTCGATCGAACAAATATTACAAAGTTATTCAAGAAGCATGCAGAACAATGTCGTACGATAAGATCGTCTCAACGTTGCGAATTACCTTTTCCTCGTCGTCCCAATTGCTCTTATTATCATCCTCCTCATCGTCGTCGTCGGAGAACTCGGCGTTTATGACTTTGGCCATCTCTCTATCCTTGTCTTTCACACTGGTTCCTGATCCCGAGTCCTTTTTACTTCCGGGTAGCCTAGTAGTACCGCTACTAATGACACAGCAATTTTGTTTTGACTTATATTATTTTCCCTTTCTTCCGCTTCTGGGTTCCTCTGTCTTTTGTTGTATCATCGAGCAAAGCTTGCTGATAGATGATACGTAGCAAATATCGCGATCTAGTATCGGTCTTATGTCCCAAAATATGAAATGCGTTTGTACGCTAAAAGTGTCTACTATTCGTTCTTTTTTTTTTTTTATTTTTTTTTTTTGCATCGCGTTCTGACTTCTTCGCACATTCGGTCGTACCAAAAATTTTTATATGAATAATGAACTGTGCTGCGCTATGTATATAAATTTGAAAGAGAATTATGCCTTACGATGAACAAAGTACAATTATTTTAGTTCTCGTATCAAAAGTTATTACATTGCATTTTGATGATACACATTGCGTCTATACGTATCAACATCGATTTCTTCGTTATTCGAACCCTGCAAAAAGCTCTCTCTCGATAGCGAAATATTTGTTTCGTGCAATCGTTTGTATCTTGACTTTTTTTTTTTTTTTTTTTATCAATCGATTTACTTTGGCATTTATTCATAGATGTTTGTTTGCTTTCGTCTACTTTTTATCGTCGTGTTGCGACAATCAAGTCATTGATTGAGAGTTGGTTTGCATAAACCAAAGGAGAATAAGCAAACACACGCAACGAGGATATTCGCGTACGGTTGTGGTGTAAATGATTGTATTAATAAATTACCTCCTGCGCAATTTGGTAGTGGTCAAGCGCATACGCTGGATGTAGTCTCGCGAGCGTGAACCCAGTAGCTTTCGACGATAGTCGAGCGAGTGCAGGGCACGCTTGCGAGCCACGATGACGTCCGATCGAGAGCTCACACGGTGAAACGCACCCCCTCTGCCGCTGCTGCCGCGGGTCGAAATACGACCTCTGTAATTTGAGCTCTGATGCGATATTCTTCCGCGACTCGAGGTGTATCTCTGAGTCGGCGGTGGTGCCATTTCGCTAATCCGAGGGGGCGGCGGAGGTGCATAGTTCCGTGAGGCGGAATGACGATCCTCAGAACGGTGGTATGACGACGCGCGTTCGCTCTGTCTCTTGTCCTCATATACAGCGGACGATGACGATCCCTTATTATCGTCATAGGGCGCCGATGCAGATGAACCACCGTACGACGAATACCTCTGTGAGCCGCTACCGCTACCTCCACCCTGCCAAATCAAATTCAATTGTGCTCCGTCCATGTATTCCTTTCTTTTTGTTTCGTTTCCTGCCCTCTTTCTCTTACATTTTATTCTATGCTACCGTTTTATCCTTCGTCGACCATTTATTTTTTTTTTTTCTCTATCATTTATCTTTCTATACATACAAGTCCTACCGTCGAACTGGGCTAATCGACTAACCGACTGATTGATCGATGAATTGATTGAGCAAGTGATCGAACGATTGACTAAACGACTAACTAATTGCTCGATTGACCGATCGATTAACAGGATAATTCTCGATGTGCGATTATAACGACATATCTCTATAAATCCATCTGCATTTCATCGTTCGGTTGTTACATGCATGAAGCTTAGCACTTGAAATGGTCCCAGCCGGTCGTGGCCGTCACAGTCACACGCGATTGACAATCGCGATTACTACACCCACTCCCATTTGGATTCGCCTAGATTACAATTTGACCTTCCCTAAATATCAAGGAATCCCTAAATGCCTTTTCGCTGCCTTTATTATATGACTTCGCGTTAATTGTTAGTTTGCGAAAAATGTACTCACTAATCTGGCTCACATAACATTTGCAATCTTGGGAGTAGCAGCAGGGCTCTCACTTCCCTCGAGCTAATGTTCGACTTTGCCATTCGATGGTGCATATACACAATGCTCTCGATAGACCTTTCCAACTTGGTAGAATTATATTTTATACTGTATGCATACATGTGGAAACTCTTCTGCGATGCGTCAACGTGATACACGAAGGTGATAAACAAAAGTAATAAAGCTGCCGCTATGTGGATAATCATTCATGCTTGGCTGCGCTTGGGAACAATGATAGAATTCGTATACGCATGTATATTCATTTTTTTTTTTTTCGTTCGTACATTCCCTCGCATGCATTATAAGTGAATGCTTCCCAAGTATTTTCCACCATCACGCAGGGATATGCATACATTAAATATTAATCCTTTTCTAATTCCCTTTGTTAATTGCAAATAAAGGACATACGCGTCCCAATGCGATTGGAAAGGTCTACGAATGTATAGATATTATTCAAAATTTGTGCTCTCGACATAATTTAGATAACTCTGCACGGTGCTTATGGATGGTACTCGATGAAAATTCCATGTCACAAGGCCACGCCTGAGGATGTCGTGCATTTTTTTTTTTTTCTACAACTTCTCTAGATTTTCATTGTTATTGCACAGAAAAGTGGCTTAATTGCGCTTATTGTTTTATAACGGGGAATAACTCGTACATACACATCTATTCGTTTGACTGTCCGTTGACTTTTCAAACAGTTCTCAAATTTTAACACGACCATATGCGGCTAGTAGGCAACATTATAAATACCATGTAGGCATTTCATCTTTTTATGATTCATCATTTAACAATTTGACGATTTCACCGCAGTAGTGTTCCACCGCAGTAGTTCCCCAACGTAAAAAGAATGAGTGTTCGAGAAGCCGTTGGCTCGCGTCGCTTGAAAGGAAAGTATGACAACTTATGAATGCTTCGCCTAAAGTATACCAATCTTTCTTACATACAAGTGCCCTAAAATTATTTTCTATTTTCTTTCTTTTTTTTTTTTTTGTGCAACTTAATCTTCAATACGACACGCTTTAATCGATAAATGATAAACTTTCAGGACCACTCGTTCTCACAATTACATTACATAAAATAGAAATAATATTTTTAAAATCTCCTATTGCAAAAAAAATAGTCTCAGTCACGGAATTATCATGGCCGCACAATTTTAAAATATCACAAATTAATGCCGTATTATTGTCTACATTTCTCACTTAAATTATTACTTATCTTATGCAAGATAGAGAAATGGGCGGAGCAAGTCGGAATGAGAAAAGGGGAGAACACATACCTGATAAGAATCACTTCTTATTCTTTTACGTGTGGACTCGCTAGAGGATCGATGGTCGTCTCTTGCTGAATAGGAATCCTGCGAAAAGTACTTTATTATGCTTTGAATATCTGTATAATATTGTAAAAATATATTTTGAACTTCTCTACATTTTTATTTTGTATACTTACGCGAGGTCTTTTGTAACTGTTGGAATGCTCACCACGACCACCTCTGCTGGAATATCTTTCTGATCCTCCTGTTAAATAAATTAAACAATCACTAACGTTTTAGCGTTGTTTCCTCGTATTTCTTCTCTTTAGAAACATTTTATATATTATGATTTACACTAACTGATCTTTCGCTATACTAATAACAGTTCAAATATGTGTTGATGCAAGTCCTTAACTTTCTCAAGGATACTGGCACATATGTGTATGTTTGGTTCTATTTAATTCAAATATGATAGCTATAATAAAAACTATTACGAATAAATACTCATTACGATATCCCAACAGAACAAAATTGATATTTGACAAACAATTGTTAGATAATTATAAATTTTAATAAATATAATAAAAAGAATAAAGTTTGTCACGGCTTTAATAAATTCGTCTCTGAAAAGGTTAAACTATAATTTTATATTTGTAGTTACATTATAAATGAAATATTAACTTTAGAAATATTTATAAACAAATTTTTTTTCTAAAAAGTCCCTTGCTTTCTTTCAAAGGTATTAGCTTTGAGAAAAATATAGATCCTTCAATTAGCAATTTGTATATATTGACAAAAAGTTTCCTAATTTCTAATATTATAATATTTCATTGTCTTTTAAATCTGTGCTAATTGATTGTTTTAAATAGACCCAATAAAGGTTTAATTCTTGAACATTACCTGAATTATACTTCGATCTAGAATCATAGCTTGTTGTTGAATATTTGAATCTGCCACCTCTAGAAGATGAATAACCTCCTCTAGATATATTTCCTCCAACTGAACTACTACTCCAATCATTTCCGCCACCGCCGCCTCGGCCTCTATAAGAACCTCCACCGCGAGAACTGAATCCACGGCCTCGAGAACTCATAGTAGAACTATAAAAAAATTCAAAAAAAGTGTTGTCATTATGCCTCTCTTATATCTGTATTCTTTTCTATGTTCCATGTATTTCATTCTCTACTCTTGTCCAAAAAAGATCTATCGATAATTATTTTGAAAACTGCACAAACAATTGGCATTGAAATGTAATATTTTATAGAAGTGTATGGCATTAAATTGTATAAAAATTGTTTAAAAAACAATTTTTGATATATTAAATGTTTTGTTAAATCATACAAATAAACTATTTTGCAATTATTTCACAGATTATATGCAAATCCTGTTGCATTAAGAATCATGTACATTACCAACCTGTACTTATTGTAACCATAACTCATGGTTGCAACTTATCGATGAGCAAGACAGAGAAAGAAAAGAGGCTGTAGTAGATACAGCATCAATAGTCTATGGAAAAAACAAACATTTTTATACAACGTATGTAGTACAGGTTACCATTATCGAATATGTACATCGATAGCCTCTTCACAATCACAAATATAATTTGTTATTTGATATCATGATTGTGGTTGTAACTGATGAAAATGAATAATATCGCACTACATTTACAAACAAAACAAATTTTTTACATAGAAAAAAAAATTGTATAATGTGATAGTATTGATTACATAGGGCAAAATTCTGATATGATAAAACGATGTGGTAATATAACTCTGAAATGCTGAAAAACATTTATGAAATACTTCGGGAAACAGAATTATGAATTAAAACCTAAAAATTAATTTTAAAAATTGACAGTTCTGTATTTACATGATAGGAAATGATAGGCTTTTAGTATCAAGCACAACGTATCAAGCACAACTCACCTTGCCGAACTGAAGTAGCTCTTTTTCTTCTTGCGACAAAAACACGGTTATGATCAATCTTTTGATCTATTGAATAATAGATACGATAAATTCCGCCTATTCTGACGTATTGATCAAGATAATGCGACTGCAGGTTCTTTAGAAAAAACTATGCGATGATGGATAACACACAGATGCACTTGACTGAAATAAAACGTCGACAGGCAAATTTTTGGAACAATGGCGTTCTAGGGCGTCCAAACCTTAGACATTACAAAATGGCTACGTTTAAAACGATTTTGATCATCGATGAAATACTATCGAAGACGTACAACCTTACTGATCCGATAGTTATCACGAACATCCAATCATGTCCAAATATTGCTTATAACCAAATCTAGGGATATTGAACAGAGATTCTCATTCAAAAACTTTTGGCCAGTATAATGAAAATTCAATTCTAGATGTGTGATTAATGCTTCACATCTACTTGATTTTTGTAATTGTTTAAATATTGGGATATTTTCTAAAAGTATGAAAAAGAATACAAGTTTTTGATTCTTTGTAGCGCTTAAATCGATCGAGAAGAATGGTTTGTCAAAGCTCAGAGTCCGCTCTTTCTTTGTAAGAAGAAAGTATAAAACAAAAGAAATCTACATTTTTTAATTTCAGGCAATGTATTGTTATATTATTTGTTGTCCAAACTCTATAAAGATCTAGAAATTCTTTAAAGCATAAGTTCAATTGCATAATTGGTACTTAATTGAGTTGGAGTTAATTTTTTCAGAGGATTTTAATATTAATAACGATAAATTACAAAACATTTAAATCTAATACACTTTACTGCTTCTTCATAAATTCTATTTACACGCAAGATCTTTCAATTGTCTATCTCGCTTTTACATGTCAGAAAAATTCTAATAAGAACAAATTATTTATGCTGTATTATCTACAAGAAAGAAGCAAAAAGGACAGGAAAAAAAGCACCCACTGTACGAAAGTTAATACACGTAGTTAAAGACAAGTCATAGTTGAGAGACAAGGTAATTACCTTACTTGCAACTTTTGCTTTTTACGATGAGCAAATTATGTACACTGAATGGATAAAGAATCCGCGGTTCGGTCAACTATCAATCATTACCAATAATGTATATGATAAATATTTGCCGATAATATTAAATAGTTTTAAAATATTTTACGTTCTTCATACTCACACACATGCTTTCAACAGGCATCCAGCCACGCACTCGCATGCTTAATTCTTGTAATTATAATATTGAGCATCCGTTCGTTTCCATCTTTTCGTTCAAAAAATTATAGTCATTTAACGCACTGGTTAACTGATTGGCTTCTCTGTGTTGTTAATAATACCAATTATAACTCATTTTGTCTAAAGAAACGACACAAGTAATTCAATGTATGAAACGATATTACTAAAATCTTTTTTTTTAACCATCCAAACTATATTCCGCATCTAATGCCGAATGAGAAACGTTTACATCGTCGGAATGACTTTCGTATTGACAGCAATTTTCAATCACTAAGTTTGCAAGTTCCTTTATACGCTCGTACGGTCTGGAGTCTGCTATCAATGTGTGTAGTTTCTCCATTCCTCCTTCTTTCACTACCAATGTACAGTATTTAAATGCTGAAACATAAATCGCATTGTAAAAAAAAAACATGACGCTTATATCTAGATATGTTTGACAAAAACGTTGACGTATCGCATACATACGGTATACTTTGGTGAGATTGGCTAGAGCCCAAGCGGCCCAATGTTGACACGGAGGAGTGTGGTATACATCCAACAGGCGTAGCAATGGTCCAAAAGAACGATAATTGATATTGCGTTCCGCATTTAAATCCCAACTTTCAATCGCTTGCACCATGTATTTAAGAACCTCATTGCGAGTCGGCTTTTCTATCGTCCAAGCGTCAAGACCATCAGATGCCATGTGTGCCAATATACCAGCGGCGTTGTACGGAACCTGTAAAACAACGCACTTGTTTAGCTAGTAAAGTTCAAGTTTCACAATGAGTCAAATAAAAAAAAAAGGTATACACAAGTATATACAGAACCTCGATTCCATCGCTATTGGAACGTAATAGATTCGCGAAGACTGTTACATATCGCTCCTGCATAAGGTGAATTCGAAGATACTCGACTTCTGCTACATTACCGAGCAAACCCATCATATTCCTCAACAATTCTTCCTTGTGTGGATATTGCTGAACGATATGTGAGAAATTATCACAGTGAAAATACATACGCATGTGATGAATTAAATATACCAATTACACTCGTGATTAAGCAAATGTAACAATTATATACCTTTACGCACAACAGAAACAATGCCATGCCTTTTTCATCTAAGAATCGTTGGCAATTTATGGACGTTTCATCGGTCATGTTCCACATAGTCGACCATGCAACTTCTAATACGTCGTCAAATATATTAGACTCCACTCTATATTCCACCAATTCCAACATGGTCTTAACGCAACCCAATTTGCCGAGCAATCTTTTTTCTTTACCCTCCACTTGACAAGCCAAAGAGTTTAATAAATATATACCGATTCTTTGAACAAAACTCTCTGGTTCCGAATGTCTGGCTGAATGTAGAAGTACTTTAACAAGTGCTTCATAATTCGACATCTACAAATAAATGATAATAATTATATTATTTGAAAATGGTTGGACCCGTTTTAAACGATCTATAACTTGCAACAGAATTCGAGATAAGTATCTAGAAAACATTTGAAGAATATACATATACAAAATATGTATCACTAATTTACATTTTACGCGTGTTACGAGATGCATAAAATTGTAGAAAGTTTAGTTTCAAATTCTGTCGAAAATTATAGATTGTTTTCAACTGTTATTATACTAGAATAACAAAAAATGAATATTTTATGACTAGAAACTATTTAGAAATGAACCTCGCAAGTTAAAAATTCCTAATATATTATTAAAAAACGAAATTTTTTTCTTTGGAAAAACTGAACAAATGTCCACTCAGCTTTTTTATTTAGTTAAAAAATATCTATATCATTTAATATTGTAACAAACTTAATGATAAAATAACGTAAAAACTAGAAAACTTGAAAATAACAAACCACATCTTGTGGTATGCGAAATTGGCACAATGCCAAACATCCGTTTCGCATCATAGTTTCCTCATCTCTATGCGCGCTCATACCAGCAAGGAGGGTACTTATAATTCTTCTCTTCATTCGTGCTACTAATTCGCCTTTTTCCTTCATTTTTACTATGTAAAATAAGGTAGCGCTGCAATATTAATATATTGAATTAAAGTCGCAAGCTTACTGACGCTACGTTAACGATGCTTTCTCAAATTTTGCAACCGTTTCTCTTGGCCAATAAACAATCTAAAAATAATAAAGTGCGCGCAATGTGTAAGTGTATATACAATGTGTATATGCATACCTTCCTGATATCTGTATATGCTTCTGAGCTGGATGCTTTTCCATCGCTTCCAACACAGTGCACAGTGCTTGATCCATTCTGTGGCAATTCTCATATCTAAACACATGGTATAAATCACTGAGTACTTTTTGTAACAACTCCTGTTTATTGTCCATGCAAACATGAGCTGCGATCAATATTTGATCTTCGTTTGCATCACCAGCCACCTATATTATAAAAATTAATAGATAAATAAAAAGTAATATTTTACTAAAACTATATTGATTTTACTCATAAAAACACCAATTACTATAAAATTTCACCAGCATGTAATTGTGAAACTTACCACTTTTGCTGGTATGTCGTGCCTTCTGCAAGCACCATGGGCAGTACCATAAAGACCTAAAAATTGTAATGGCTTATGTATTCTAGAGGCGAGTCCTGGTATGTCAGAAAGCTGACAGAGATTAGTATCCTCGATTTTCATGTCGATAGGACGTTCGGCTACACCTCTTCCAGCTAGATTTGTACCACCGATATCTAAGGAAACCAATTGTGGTAAACCATTTACTAAGTCAGCTAAGACTCTATTAGGATTCTCAAACTGTCCGTGTTTGTAATTTGACTGTGAAATATCCAAGTGCCTGTAAAAATATTTTATTTAAATCCATAAGCTTATTGTCTATTAAGCTCAATTCTCTACATATTTGTATCTTTGAGAAAAAATGTTACGACTAGATTTCACGGTTATTTTATACTATATAATAAGACTAATTATATTTATATAATTGTTAGAATGTACCTTAAATTCTTCAATTGGCTGATGTTTTTAACAAAAGATTTTGAATCCGTATTGACTTTAACATTATACAAAGTTAACGACACTAAATTTGGTACTAGATGATAAAATTCAAAAGTATCAATGTCAAAACTATTAGATAAGTCCAGATGCGTCAAATTGATTAATCCTGCCAGTAACAAGACATATTCTGATGCAGCTATTCCTAAATATCCTAATGCCAAACGTCTTAAATTTGGCGTTTTGAAAACATATCCTCGTTTGTAGTAATCGAAAGATGATTCAGCTACAATAAAATGTAAAAAATATTTTAACTGACACATCAATTATTAGATATTATTATAATACACTACAAAATAAATTAATAATCATACGTAGTTTCTTACCTGGGCTCAAACGCGATGGTACAATCATCGAAGTTCCATGAAATGCTAAACTATGAAGATTTTCTGAATTGGCATTAATATGTTCGATACAAAGTTCCGTTAAATTACTACAATCGGTAAGTTCTAAATCGTAGAGTTTGTGACTGGTAAGAGTCTGAACCGAAGTGTCAGTTAAGCTGCAACTGGAGATTTTAACGTGCTTCAGTCGAGTAGCCGCTAAGTTTTTAAAGATTGAAAAAAAACAATCGTCGTCCTCGGTCGCCTCGCTGTATTGCGCATACTCGATAATTTTGTCACATATCTCGCTCGGGAAAGTAATCCCTTTCCGTAATATTCGATGACCCCGTCTTCCCTTTATCGAGATAATGTCGAGATTCTCGCAGATCAATTTAAAGCAGAGATCGGTGAGCCGCTCCGGGCCTACATATTGATCCGTGTGAAACAAGTCATCCAGCTCCGCCATTCTCCCGATGATAATTTTATTGGATCACGACTGAATCATGCGTGAGAGGATGCACGTTATATTTTCTCTGTAATTACGCAATTTCAGCTGTCAAATACCTAGAGAAATACTATATGTCAAACGAAGCATCAGCTGGGAAACGCGCGACATGGCGTGCCACAGAAATGTTTAGTTGTATACGAACTTTTCGCTGACCGCATTTAGTCGTTTCATTCACACCGCGTGTCAATGTCGTAATCTTAGCCGCGTGTCTCGTAACATTTTTGCATCCTTACCGAAAGCGATACAGCCAGTTTGTGTGCAACTCGAGCCGTGACAAAATAACACGACAATTTAATGTTCAGTCTAAAATCTTCCGAAAAGTTACAGCTGTTACTACTCACTGTCGCCACCACCATTACCACCTCGTTCGGTTAATACTGCTGCGTAATACTACTACTCGTTATTATGGACGATTCATACTCCGTCCGACATCCAATAAGAAAATACATTTCCTAGGAACTTTAACTAACGCGTTTTGTTTTCCAAACAAATCCTTCTACGAACATGCTGTATTATTGCACACTATATTTTAAACACCAGGATTTTAGTCCACAAGTTTTTATTCTATGGACATACTGTATTAAATGTATTTCAAAGTATGATATAAAATATGCCACACTTTTTAACAAATTCCCAACGACCTAATGACAGAAATAAATGCAACAATTTCATGTAAAATTAAAAAATATAATTCTCAGTCTTTATTAACTTATATTATATATAAAGAGTTATTACATTCCTACAAAAATAGTCTCTGTATGCAGTATCAATGGTCATTCACATTACATTGTGAATGTACTTTGCGCGTTTTTGTTTTGTATTTTACATTTGTTTCATATAAAATTATTACTCGTTGCTTCCAAAGAATCCTTGGTGAAATAAAAAAACTTAATTATCGTAGTAATCCATCAAAAGATTTCCATCTTTGTCCTTCAATCGTTTTCTTCCGCTGGAATAACGCGTTTCTTGGCTACCATCCGCATACACTAGTTTTACAGTACCATCAGGATATTCTCGTCTCTGAAATATACAAAGATTCAATTCAAAGTTTATGTAATTCGATACAAAATACACGCTACATGAATCGAAGCAACATTCGAAATAGAAATATAAAGAATTAACTCGTTCACCTTGAGATTTTTTGTTTGAATTTCTCTCTGGCCATTCGGTAAAGTTAGAATCTTATCGCCGTTAGTGAAGATTTGCACTGCCGTTCCGTCTGGTAATGACCATTTCTCCATGCCATCCGCTTGTACTATTTTTACAGCGCCGTCCGGGAACAACACTTCGACAGTACCGTCGGCAGTACGTTTTTCCACTTGACCACTGTGAATTTTTTTTATTTGTTATGCATTATATCGATAAGCGAGAATAAAATAGAAAAGCTAATCAAGTAAACAAACATACCTAGAAAACTCCAAAATTTGTAAGCCATCAGGAGTCATAGTGCACCACGTTCGAGACGCAGAGTAAAAGTACTTCACTTTCCCATCCTTGTCGGTTTCGCGCACGTCTCCGTTGTAATAAATCATCTTTGTGATTCCTTGATCGGGAAAGACCTTTTTCATATTACCGTTTGGATACAAATACTCGAAGCATCTGTCAGAATGTTGAATTTGTTTTGCGACATCTTTGGGACTTATTCCAGTCTGATGAAGCGAGGGGGAATGTAATGTCATATTTGAATTCTTCTCAGCTACCTGATCTCTATCTTTATCTTCATTTATTTCGTGCAATCTCTCGGTGTAACATTTCGTGTTCTTCGCATCATCAACTGTTGTTCGTTCGAGGCCTTCGCTTGCAAAATAGGATTTGTCGCTGCTTTTTCCGGATATTTCGTTGCTCCTTGGAACGTTTACATTTCGCATTTGTGTAACTATTGACTGGTAAGGATTATTTATATCTTGTTCAATGTGATATTCTTGATCGTCCACTAAATCCGATGTTGCGTCTTTCAATAGATTTTTGTATAAATTTTTCTTTTCTGCGGCAATATTTCCTGTTGGAATACGTTTTGGCTGCGTTTCAACTCTAACATCGATTGGTTTAGATTCTATTTTATTTGCAGATATTCTATTCTCTATTTGTTCAAAATCGTCGTTTATATCGATTGCTTTTGATTCTACCGACTTCTTGTTTCTTTTCTTGTCGTTATCATCATCATTATTGTCATTTTCGTCATGAATAAACGCACCCGAGGAAGTATCCGACAAATCTCGAGATATTTTCGCTGATGTCTCTTTAGACGAGGAAGCTGCAATAACACGTTTATTAATTTGATTAATAGCTTTCGCAATTACTTGCCCGTTTGTGCTCTTCTTGATATTTTTGACGTTTTTTACTTTTTTAACATTTTGTAAATTCGCGATTTCTTGCTTCAGCTTTGAAATTTCCACTCGTAGTACACGAAGCTCACTTTTATACCTCGATTCGGCGGCGTTCCATCTGCTTTCTTTGATATTCAATTCGTCTCCCAAGTTTTCTAATTGTTCCTGTAAGTCTTGCGCCGTTTGTCTTTCCATTTTATTTTGCTTCGCCTTTTCTTGAGCGTCGCGAATTCTACTCTCCATTGCTACCTTCTCACGTGCTAGCTTCTTTTTCTCTTCTTCCAACTGGTTTTGTATTCTCCTTCTGTTCTCTTCAAAATTTTTTTCTTTCTCCATGTATTCTTTACGCAATATCGTTTGTTCTTCCTGCAGTTTTCGGCGCTGCAGCAATAAGGTTGCACTTTCCTTTCGAAATATATCAATTTCCTTCTCAAGTTCTAATAGTCGACTTTTTAAAAGTTCCGATTCGAAAGTATTTATCCGATCTTCTCTCGCATTCAAACATATTTTCTCGGTTTTCTCGTTTTTCAGTGTATATTCTTCTTTTTCGTGCACGCTCAACTCCTGGCGAGAACCTGACAATGATGACGATGACGATGATGATGATGATGAAAATGAAAGGATGGATTGGTTAAACATTTGACCAGTTTCTTCGGTCATCGTATCATCATCGGGCAATTCGTTTTTACAACTGGAAGTATTTCCCTCTTCGGGAACGCTGAAAGGTTCGCTTTTCATCGCGCGATAAAACAAATCTTTTACATCTTGCTGCAAAGACAATCGTCGCGACGCATCGACCGCTTTTTCATCGTCGATTATTGTCAGAGAGGACATTTGTTCCTCATAATCTTCTGGCTTCTCCTCGACGTCGGACGATTCCGATGAAAGGAAGGAATTATTGTCCGAATCCTGCTGTTCGAGCTCATCTTCAAATGAAGATTTATTTGTAGCGTCAGACGTGTCGATTAAATCTATAGTTCTATATTCGTTATATTCAGAAAATCTAACATGATGGCTCGCATCATTATTGCGTGTTAAGCTGCGATCATTTGCCGTGGAAACGTCTCCCTCTTCACTGTCAGAGGTCAATTCTGCGACAATAGGTGTGTTGTACAATGCATCCTGATTGTTCAGTGTTAAATGTCCCTGTGCCTCTTTTTGCGTGTCACTGACAGTTTCCCAACAGGAATTAATAGCGGCAACACTGGTACGAGAACGTTTATAAACATCAAATTGCTCAACTCGACGAGGTGATTTTAAATTTTCGATGTGCGCAGATCGTTGAACTACCTGCTGGATCGTACCGTTCCTTCGTTTATCACTTAGCTGTTTCATACTTGTCGTGACACCGCTCTCGCTTCCTGCATAATTTAACGTTTTCTTTATTTTAAATGGCGTAGATTGCTGCAAGAATGCAAGAACAGTGCTCGATGTTGAACAAAAACTAGAGTTCTCTGCTTTCTCTTCCAACAATTCGAATATTCTTACCTCTTCCAATTCTCTTTCTGCTTTTGAATCGCAATCTGACATACTCATTCTTTCTGATAAATGTTTTGGTTGATCGGAAGTAGCGTTATTCGTGACCTGTTTATTACAAGCAACAGATTCAGATTTATTAAGAATCTTCCTTGGTAATGAAACAGCTTTCAGATTTAATCGTTGCCTTCCAATTGCAGCAGAAACGTTGCTTGGAGATTCCGAGACTATATTTTTGCATACGGATTTCTTGCTTTTATGAGTTCTATCGGCACGTTCTTTATTAAGTGATAAAAGTGTGCTGTGCTTTTTTGTAGTTGGAAGATGTGAGTTTGTAGATATTTTGTATCTCGACAATCCTTGGCCTTTCTTTAGGAATGGTTTCTTTGGCTTAGCCATTACACCTGCATGCACATTTGAAGCAACTTCTGCCTCTCTCTTCAATTTCTCTTCCAATAGCGTGTGAAAGTCTTCTTTAGGTGATGGCAGAGGGATATCGTCAATTGAGACATGCAATGCTATATTGTTCGAAGATAATGGTTTTATTCCTTCTATTAATAAATCGTTACTCAGTTCTTCCTTTGGCAATAATATACTGGAATTGTAATGTTTCACAGAATTTCTATTATTTTCAACAATTGTGGCAATATCATTCGGTATTTCGATTTCTTTTTCTTCTTCTTCTCCTTCAGTTTCTTCTTCACATTTTTCACATGATGTATCAATATTTGTTGGCATTTCTCTTTCAGACATTTCTAACATACTGTCTGAATCTCTTGCATCATATTGGAGCAATGGAGAATCATGGGACATTGTTTCTTGTGCATCTATCTCTATCTCATCACACACATCTTCAGTATTTTCAATAATATTATTAAAATCATGTATTGGCAAACCAAGTGCTTTGTAAATACGATCTTTCTCATTGCTTAAAATTTCTCTTTGCATTTGTTGCTGTTTTAGGAGTCTTTCTTGTTGTTCCAATTGCCATTGTTTCAGTTTCTGTAAGCGTTTAGTTATAGAAGCTTCTAAATCCATGATTCTCACAATATCTGAAATAGTTGAAATTATTCATTTAAATGAAGAATAAATTAATCAAATATATTTGAGCTCTGTAAGAAAATAATTGAGCTCTGATATGTAAGTAATATAAAGTAATATAAGTATAATTTACAATCGATATTCATAGTTCTATTTTCCACAAAATAGCTTCCATTTCAGTACCTTGCTATGTGAACATACTCACCAAGATAAATGATCCTTAACTATCAATAAATTGAACGTCTGATTGTTCATTCTCTTCTTTTACTCTCTCTTCATCTCTATTGTAGAAAATGAGAGAAAAATAAATGAATAACTTTACAATTATCGACATATTGCTAAACAATACATACACGTAACGTGGCAAATAAACGGTTTGATAATTCAAAATGTTATCCTTATTATCCGACAGGAATAGGATTAGGTTAGTATCAAGGATACCAACTTAATCTGAAATTAAAAAAAACACCATTTTTATGAAAACAAGCATTGTTAGAATAAACGGATTGGTTGTTGCTTATGGCGAAAAAGAAAAACCCTAAACATTAATTAAACAAAATTTTAAAACCATATATACAATAGCAAATAAATTTTTGTCCAAATTGTAGAGTTAATCAATTCTACATTTACATATTAGTTTTTAGAATAAAAAAAATTGTTTTCATAGATATTACATAAACTCTCGAATGCATTTGCAATCTAAATTAATAATACCGTATTATTTGGGGTGCATTAATATAAATGTGTACAAATAAATTACTATTGTATATCAGTAATTTCTGAAGAAATAAATTTTTGCTACAACTTCTTGACGTGAGACGTTCAATAAAATTATAAAATAATCAATATCAAAATATACATGTCTCGTAATTACTATTCCAATTATTTAAAACAACTGCTGTCTGTAACAAAATACTTGGTAAAAATTACAAAGAAATTTTTATTATTTTATCTACATATATAATATAAAAATTTATGAGTAAAAGATGAAAGAAATAAAAAAAATAATGATATTCGTCAAATAATTGTATATTAAATTAACTATTCTATTAACCAAATATGAGTAATAACAAGTACTACTAGGCGCAAGTTCACTAACGAGATAAAACTTCAAGCAATAATGTATGCCTAAATACATACTAAAAATATATTGTTTAGCTAAATTTAACTAAAAATCTAGCATGTCATCTCGTGCATTAAAATATGTTTGTTTAACCGAGACAACTTAACTTTACAGATAAGGCTCAGATTATAGAAAATATATAATCAAACCCCTTCTTCTCATGCATCCCTCGCTATTTTATATTTGCGATTCGCTTTCTCTCCAAAATGTTCATTTCACATTTGTACAATTAGGCTATGAGCGAAGAGTGAGAAAAATGCTACAACTAAAGGATTTTAAATCCCAAAATTAAGATTGAAGAGATTTGATTATATATTCCCTTGCTTTATTCTACAATATTTTTTAGAAATTTATCCTATTATGATAGTTTCGGTAGTATTTATCACGTTCTACCAGATAATTAATTTTTTATAATTTAACGTAAGTATAAAGTCACGCGAGCAACTTATTCCCAAACGTAACAATTCCGGCGAGGTACAATTGATAACAATTTACACGTTCCTTTTAATCATTGATTATGCGTCTGTATTTTCTGTTAGGCGGGAAAACTTCTTCGTCCTCGTCCTTATCAGGTGTGAGAAAAGGATCGTCATACGCGTAATTTGGTGCCCATTTTAGTAACAATTTCTCAAAAAACTCTTCTAAATTTCTAGCTTCTTGATAAACTTGTGAATCCACCTGGAAAAATAAATAAAGATAAATAAGAAAAAATGGCAAAATGAAAAAAAAAACTAAAAATCTTCACCGACTTACTGGATTGTATGTAAAAGCGTTTTTGAACATGAGTCTGATGTCCGCCATGACTTGTCTTAAATCTGTGTAATGATCAACATGATCAGGTTTTAACTTTTCCCTAATTATATCTAACGCAATCGGCTTCTTAATAATCCGATGATAATCGACAATCTGAGGAGAAAAAAATAATGATTGGATTATTTTCACTGGTCGATCTCGGTATCGGATAAAAATTTTGTCACATATTTACCTCACTCGATACAACCTCCCGAAAAGGAAGACTTTGCTCGTATTGACAGTAGAGCTCTAAAACAATTCTTTGTGCAATACGCAATTCCTTCGTGCTCATACCAGTTGACTTCTTCTCGCTGCTTGATACATCGTCCGAACAGTCAAGCACATTTGTACATAACATACACTGCCAAGTTTCACTTTCACTAAAAGAAATGTATAATTAGTAATAACAAAAAGTCGGAGCAAAATAAAAATGCGTCATAAACCGATGATTGCTTACTCGGGAAATGATTTTAAGCTAGGTATGTGACAATAGAGGTGAAAAACTTTTGGACATTTATCGCAGCACAAAACAGCATCTCCCCCATCCATGCAAACGGCACACCAGTCCTCGTTTGGATCGTCCTTAATTACCATAGGCACTGATACATTTTTTGAATTATCTGTTGGAAGAGACATGCGGAATTAGAATAAAATAGAAAAAGAATGTAAACTCCACTGTCATACGCAAAAAATGGAACTATAATAAGATATATTTGTAAAATGTACTTACATTATATAGCTTACGTTGACTGATTTTATACTTCATTCTTTCTTTAAATTATTCTAGATATAATACTATTCACTTACTGATAACGTGAAAAGTAACCAATAATGAGTCTGACTGACCTGTTGGATTTTCAGTTATCGAATTGATATCTTCGTCAGTTGAACTATCAACTTGCGTCGAATCCATTTGATTTCTTTGTGCCTCTGGTATCACCACAATTCCATTGCTATCCAGTTTTGCGATAGTAAGCATTAGATCATTCAATGATTTCTGACAAAACTTGTCTAGACTCTTCTCAGTATCGTCCGATTTGCCAGGAGTGGTAACAGGACTAGGTGTTTTGGGCACCGACGAGCTCACAGTGTGTCCAGCAACAGTAGACGGGCTTTGCAGCTGAGATGAATTATCGCACGGACTAACACTCGCTACGGCACCATATTTTTGATTGTTATTGGCTTGTTGATTTCTTAAAGTAATTTTGTACGTGTCATTGACAGGAGCTGGCATTATATGAGCCACTTGTTGATTTCGAGACGCAGTATAAGGAAGGCAGGGATTGGCTTGCTGAGGTATATGCCAACGATGCTGCATAGGATAGTTTCCCATGTGTTGCGTCGTCGGCGGAGTTAAATTGCATTGCTGCAAACGCGTCGTCCCAGACATAACAGACGCGTTCGCCGATTGATACGAGTGTGGTGGCGGCACCTGGACTAATCCTCTCGAAGGGGTGCCATTTGAGGAATATCTGTACCCAGGAGGTAATCGATATGACATGTGATTGGTGGACGGTCGGAAGGAAGGATACGGGGGTGGTGGAAGAGGAGTATTATGTGCAAGAAGTCCGCGTAAACTCGCGTTTTGTCCGAGCTGATCTAGATTTTGAACCTGCTGATGCGGATGCGTGGATGACGTCACCTGTTGCTGATGACAATTGCCCAAGGGGCGTTGCTGATGTATCATTGAGGGTTGTTGCAATCGATTACTGTAACTGACGGCGTATGGCACTCGTGGCTGATGTGCCTGTGGCGATGATCTAGGAGGCATATTGTGCGGTGCAGGATATTGTTGCAAGTAATTCTGCGATGGTTGCGTGTGTTGTGGTTGCTGTTGAGGCGGCACATGTAGAGGCACTTGTTGCTGATAAGAGTTCTGTTGCGCGTTAGCAGGCTGCTGCGTTACCATCGTGGGTATTATTAAATTCTGCTGAACGACAACGGGAACAGCACCATCCGTGGGAGCACTCGCAGAATTGGTCGGTTGTTTCTGCTCGGCTTGCGATTCATTATAAGTACTATTGCTGCTGGTCGAAGGTGATGTGGACGGATACACTCTACCATCGACAACTATCGCTCCGATCGTCGATACCACTGTGAATGCAATACAGATTGTACTAATTTGACTAAGAAATTTATTATTAAGCAGAAAACTATTAAATTGTCGTATCAAACTAACCTTTTATTAAATCTGGTACTTTTTCCAAAGACAGATGTATTCTGACTGGTATCTCAGGATTTGGTATATCAGCTCGTCTACTTTTTATCCTTTGTAAATGACTTGTAATTGATCTGTAATATCATTATTCGTTATTATTGGTACATATTACTTATGTACATGAATAGAGATTGACATCCAAAATCCAATGTACTTTTTACTATATAATAATTCCATATCTGAGCCTTTCTTCAAAGCATGAGTGCCAAAAAGTATACAATGATCTGTAAGCTTGGACAATTGATCCAAAGCAACTTTTTTCTCATTTAATGTATTCTGCTTTTGATCGCATACTTCGGTTAATCGCATTATTAATTGTTTCCCTCTCGTATTAATAGCATTTGTAAATCTGCAACAAAGAAACAAAATATGAGAAATGATATAGTATAATGCCAACAGATAATACATATGTATCATATACTTACTGTACTACCATTTGTGTGATATCTTGAACAAGATTCTTTTTCTTTTCCAATATTAAGATTTGCCTATCTTCTATAACTTTCATTGCACTTTTCAATAACACTCGTTTGTAACTAAAAATTTTCTTATAAATTTATGATTCTTTGATATTTCATCAAATGTATGAAACTACTTATGAGACTTACCTTACTTCTTTGAGCAAAGTGGACATGGAAGACCGAGTTTCAGCAGCAATTTCATGAATAAATTTATATTTATGATCACGATGTTCGCTGAGTTGACAGTCTCTACAAGTTAGTCGATCGCATGTTTGACAAAACAAAGATAACTGTTCGTGAGAATGGATTGTGCAAAACAAATATGCAGGTATCTTTTTATTGCTTCTTTTAGCGTTATCTTTATCATTTGCCACTTCATCCTTAGGCTTAATTGTATGGTCCTTTGTTATCTTCAATCTTTGATGAGCCTTAAAATAGTTTCCAATTTGAATTAACAATTTACTTAAATGTCCTTTAATTTTTAAGAGACATATATTCATATATGCATTGTTTAATATATATCTTATAATTACCAGAACACAGCTCTGGCAAATATATTCTTGACATTCGATGCACCAGCTAGTGGCAGTAACATTATCAACACAACTGGTACATTTCTTTTCCTCCTCGATTTCTTTAGTTTCATCGTCCAATCCTAAATTGCTGTCCTCATCCAATAGTTTTGAGAGAAATCTATTTTCAATCAAATTTTCCACTTGGCTAGTTACATTACAAATATGACACATAATCACATTACTCTCCACTGTAAAACATAATACCAGCATGAGTATAAGACAAATTTTAAATAAAATAAAATTAAACACTGAAGTAAGAATCTATATTGCCAATTTTAATATCATTAATAAACATTAATTTTGCCAAAGGTAAATTAAGTACTAAAAAGGGTATATGTTACATACATAGCACATCTACGTCGACCGATGTATTAGGGTCACTTAGCTTAGTACTGACACATGCTGTACAAGCCGCATGTAAGCACTCGAGTAGCTTTGGATCATCTCCCAAAGTAAACACTTTGTTGCAAAAGACGCATTTTGACAAAAATGCACGCATTTCGCTTTCTTGGCTTTCAGTGGTACACTCAATACGTTGGTCGTTGCATTCCTCTTCGACACAAACAGCATCCTGCATTTGGGATTGTTGTGTGTTTTGCTTGGATGTATTTTGCTCGGGAGGTTCCTCTTTTACTGTTACAGGTGATGCAGATAACGCCGACATTCCCGCCATTAATTCAGGACCCTCCATATTTGCAGTAAAATTTGATGATGTGGCCTTTTCGCAACTTTACAAAGTGATTTAAGTTATAACTTGCGGTAGAAAATGTTTCTCAAATAAGGTAGCGCCATGGCAGCCATTTTAATAAATATATCTATGTGCTATAAATAAATAGATTATAGTTACGTACATTATTGAAGTAAAGAATTGAGAACTTCTCAGTTACTTAGAAAGTTCGCTCACTAGAAGTTCAACAGTTACTAGCTCTTAAGGCTTCTACACACACGACGCGTCATGCAAGGCAGAAGTCGGTACAGGAGCCAATCAACTTTCCGCTTTTCTGCAACCAACGGGAGATTATTGCAGTATGATTTCTTTAGCTTGATATAATTATTTTTTATGCTATAAATTAGTCGTCGTTCTCAGCTATTTTTTCTTAATAAACAATTTCTAGATAGGACACTGAACGATTATTGTAACTTCTCGCGGTTGTTTGATGCAATACAAAATATTTGCACAATAGACCAGCAGAGAGAGTTGCAGCATGCTCGGGCGGCAAATATAATAAAACAGAATATCACTAAACGATGAATATGAACATATGTTTATTCTTAAACAATAATTTAATTTCCATGCATTTTACGTGATATTATTTTACTTTAATAAAATTGAAAATTCTTCCGAAACATCCTACGTACGATGAAAATTCTATTATCATGACAGATGCATGCTACTTATTAGTAGTAAAAAAAGTATTAGCAGCAAGTTTGAATTGAAATTTTCATTTACTTTACCTAACTTCAAGCAATTAGAAAATATAAACAGATGATAATCGAGTGCGTAATAGCTTGTGTGATACCGATGATACCGATATTATAACAATATTAAACATGCAAGAAGGTAAGTTTCGTATTTTATTTTCATGCAACTGTGTTATAATCTTTGAAAAATTTACAGCTTCCCAGAAAAGTCGTCAAAATAGGGGCAAGTTTATCGATACGTTAATATCACAATGGACGAAGCGAACGGGAAGTAATATTCCATTGAATCAAGCAGAAGAGGTATAAATTTTTCTTTGTTTTTTCTTTTCAATTAAATTCCGAAATTGATCTTTTATAAACACTTGCAAAAATAACAGGTGGCCTGTTCAAACACTGAAAGTAACAAGCTAGAAAGTATGCAGCATATTCTGCAGGATCAGGAACGCGTCATCCAAGATCTGAAAAGGAAACTGAAAGAGAGTCAGCAAGTGGAAGCCTTTTTGTCCGCCACCTTGGAAAAAGAAGCACACAATAAGGAGGAGATTCAAACAAAGTAATATTTTTTTCCATTACGTATGTCTTTTGTATATATATTTGATTTTGCTTTTGACACCACAGATTAAATGCCACATGGGAATCCGTCAACACCATCACGGAATACTTCAATTACATCAGCGAGAGTCTCACCAGTTTCCAACAACACCGTGCTAATTTGTTTACTCTGTACAACAATGTGATTCTGAAGCAACAGGAAACCATTCAGCAGCTTCAATTGAATGAGACAAAGTCGAAAGGTAAGATCTAATTTAAAATCGTTTCAATCTCAATCCTATATCTGTAACAATTAATTTCGTAATCTGCAGATCTGGAGAATCATGTTGCGCAAGTAGAAAATAAATCATTACTTCAAGAAAAAAGGTATTTTTCATAAACTATCAATAATTTACTACATAAATCAATATTATCAAAATTATTTTTTAATTTAGACTACAAGAAGCGATAGCAGAGCAGGAAAAATTGCGAAAGCAACTGGAGAATTCCGAGCACAAATTACAATTGCAAAAGAATGAATTGACGAATTGCAATTCCGAAAAGCTCGTGCTCGTTAAGGTCCGCGTTAGACATTTCTCAAAAAATTCCACAGTTCTACTCTTCTTATATTGTAAATTTATTTTATTTTGATGGACGACTTTTTTTAATGCAGGAACAGCAGCGATTGCTATCGAAATATGAAAGTTCACAATCACGATTGCAAATGCTCGAGGAAGAAAAATGCAATATCGCGAAATTACTCGCACAATTAGAAAATAAATTGCATCTTGAAGAAGAAAAGTAAGTTATCGAATACAATAAATTGTACGATACTAATGACAACTAAATAATTTTTTTCAGAATGCAAGCGGCACTGACAGAGCAGAATAAATTACAGAAACAACTGGAGAATTCCGAGCACGAATTACAGTTACAAAAGAATGAATTGGCGAATAGCAATGCTGAAAAACTCAAGCTTGCTCAGGTTCGTAACAGGCATTTCTCGAAGAAATTCTACACCTCTTGTTATATCGATGGCTTTTCTAATTTAGGAACAGCAGCGATTGCAAACGGAATCTGCAAATTTACAATGGCAACTGCAAGCGATCAAGGAAGAAAAATGTAATACTGCAAAATCAACCGAACAACTGGAAATTAAATTGCGTCTTGAAGAAGAGAAGTAAGCCATTGTGCATCGCACGCAATAAATCGTACGATAATAATATCATTTAAATATATTTTTTTCAGAATGCAAGCAGCACTGACGGAGCAGAATAAATTACGGAAACAGTTAGAGAACTCGGAATACGAACTGCAATTGCAAAAGAATGAATTGACGAATAGCCGTACTGAAAAGCTCAAGCTGGTCAAGGTTTGTCTTCGGCATTTTTCGAAAAAAAAAATCTTATAGTTCTTCGTATATTAATTTTATTTTGATTCATGGTTTTGTTAACTCAGGAACAGCAGCAGTTGCTATCACAATGTGAAAGTTTACAATCGCGATTACAAGCTGTCGAGAAAGAAAAATCCGATATCGCGAAATTAGTCACTGAATTGGAAAGCAAATTACAACTTCAAGAAGAAGAGTAAGAAATCGTGCATTAAACGCAATAAATTGTATGATGATAATGTCAATGAAATAATTTTTTCAGAATACAAGAAGCATTGACAGAGCAAAATAAATTGCAAAACCAAATAGATGACACCAAGCGCGAATTCTATTCACAAAAAAATGAATTGAAAAGTGCACATACCGAAGAAAAAGAAATACTTATCAAAGTATTAAAAAAATACTTTAGGATTTTTTTTTATTTTCTTATTTGTTCCATGTTTTTAATTAATCTGTAATCTTTAATATTTATTTCAGGAAAAACAGCAATTGTTATCAAAATTAGATAGTTTACAATCGCAGTTAAAAATACTACAAAAAGACAAAAGCAATATTACAGAAATAATTGCGCACAGAGATGCGCATCTTTCAAAACTTGAAAATGAAGTTTCTATGTATAAGTACGGAAAATTTCTGAAATTATACTATGTATTTTAAAATTAAAAATATTTTTATTGGTAGATTTACATTAATTACATTTTTATTTGTTTTTATTGTGATAAGAAATCAAATCGACGCAATGGAGACGAATAATAACGAAGCACGTACTAAATGCGAAGCATTGGTAGAAAAACAAAATTTATGCGAGAAAGAATTGCGTGCAAAAACAGAAAAAGTAAGTTATGTGAAATTTTTTAATATTAATCATCGCATCTCTATTAATATAATATTTTCTATTATATAATATTATTTTGCAGATCCAAAATTTGGAGGCAACGTTAAGCGAGGTAAAGCAGAGGCAAATATTATCAGTGACATAATCAAAATAAAGAAAAAAAAATTAATCTATCTCAAAAAATCTATTTCGTTGATTGGTTTTTTCTACTCTGTTTATGTCATTGATAAGATTTGTTTCCTTATTTTAGATGCAAAAGAATTTAGAAAGAACTAAAATTAGCAACGACCTTACCAATCTCGTACATCAGCAACAACTGAAGACTCTTCAAGAGGAGAAAAAAGAAGCTCTAAAGAGAGAAAGTACAAGAATTCAGGTAATCAACAAAAAAAGGATGCTTCTTGTCCCTTATTTTCAATTAATCTGAAATATCTAATGTTTATTTCAGGAAAACCAGCAATTATTATCAAAATTGGAGAATTTACAATCGCAGTTAATACTACAGATAGACAGTCATCAGAATAGTGAGTACAACGAAAGTCTTCAAGAAAAGATGAAAGAAATGTCACAGAAATCGAATGAAAATCGAGAACCCAATTTTACGAAGGCTCAGAAGAATGTAAAGCGCAAAAACGAGGTCCGATTTAGTCCTGAAATTATAGAAAATTCCGATGAAAGTCATGTAAGTGTGTTACGATTTATTGTATAAATTATTATTAATTTTCGATTCTATTCGCTTGTAAATTATCAGTGCTATTGAGAATGCAAAAATGTATAAGCTTTTAATATACAATATTTTTGTCCTTTTATTTACTTGTTACTAAAGATATCAAGCTAAAATAACTAAGCAAAAGCATTTTATTAATCTTTTTATTTCTCCTTTTACAGCAAGTAGATGGCCCGGCGGAAAGGAAATTTTTCAAATCTGGTCCTATATTGCGTACTTATTCAAGGCGAACACAGAATTAGAAAAAGAATATATTAAAAAATCAAGAAATCAAGTGAAAAACAAACCAAGAAATCATGTGAATACAAGTTAGAAGCTCTAGATATTTAATGTAAACTTAAGATTGATATCAAATGAACAGATGATCATATTTAGATTAACATAATGAATACAGAGCGTTTTGTTCTAATAGATCAGACGATCCTTTATCTGACATTTCTATTCTAATTACTTAAAGTTAACTCTGTGTTCACCATGACATATGTAATGAAAAGAATTTGTTTTTTTGTTCACATTACTGTTTGATTTAAATGTAAGAGATACGTATAATAATGTATTTTATGTCAGATCTCAGGATCGCAAAATAAAAGAAAGTTTAAAACTATTTTTAAATGATTATAGTACTTATTATTATTGTATTCATTAAATAAATATTTCAACAATGCGCAGTTCTCAGGCAATGCAAAGTTTTTAATTGTTCCTCCACTAAACATTCATTCACAGAGATAGTATTTCCATTTATGGCCATTCTTACAATTAATCTTCCCGCAAACCTACAGTAAATATAACCTAAATGATTAAACACATAACCTCGATCTCAATCGCATGGTGTGGAGTGTAGAATAGCGGTTGTACAGTATTGCATAGTATTCAGTTGTATTATTGATTGTATAATTTGATTGTGTCTGAAGAATATTTTGAAAATATAAATTATTTGTCTTTGAAAGTACGCTGAAATTTAGGTAAATTAATAGATTTATAATCTCATAGTATGATATGAGACACATCCAAGATCTTTACAGCAGAATGTCATAAGCACCTACAGTAAATATAACTGATTAAACACATAACCTCGATCTCAATCGCATGGTGTGGAGTGTAGAATAGCGGTTGTACAGTATTGCATAGTATTCAGTTGTATTATTGATTGTATAATTTGATTGTGTCTGAAGAATATTTGAAAAAATATAAAATTATTTGTCTTTGAAAGTACGCTGAAATTTAGGTAAATTAATAGATTTATAATCTCATAGTATGATATGAGACACATCCAAGATCTTTACAGCAGAATGTCATTTTTATCAACTTTGATATATTTATTTTTTATAACATTATAATTGTTCATTCACAGGTGTGATTTAATATCTGATATTGAATACAATCTTACAAAAATGAATCAAGATACAGATAGTGATTCGGAAAGTTTATCAACTGATTCAACTTCATCAATGTCAGACAGTGATGATGATAGAATATCTGACAGAATTTCTCTTACCGAGAAGTCAGAAGCTGCAGCATTACTTTCCACAGGTATTTATCTCATATTTTTAAGTTTTTGAAAAAAGATATCTTTTGAAGATGGAAAAGAAACTACAAAAGACAAAATACAGCAAAACTATGTAGAACATTCATTTTTCTCTTACATGTATTATTATTTCAAGACAATGATGATGAAGAAGAGAATGAAGTTGTCAAATCTATATTAGATGGGAAGAAATTGAACAGGAACCATCCACCATCTATTATATTGGAAGATATGATAACAGATATATGTTTTCATCCTAAAGTAGATACTATAGGTGTAGCTAGTATTACAGGAGATATTTTTCTGTAAGTTTAACAATGCATATCTATTTTTTATTCTGGATAAAATATTTTATACAATCTTTTATTTTAGATATACATATAACAATGAAGAAACTAATCTTGTATCAACTATAGAATCTCATCTTAAAGCTTGCCGGGACATTGAGTTTAGTGCAGATGGACTATCGTTATTCTCAGTTGGAAAAGATCTATGTATAGCGATAACTGATGTAGAAACTAAAAAACTAACTAGGTTCTATGAGAAGGCCCATGAGTACGTATAACATACTTTTATTTACATATTATGATACTAATGCATCTCTCATAATTCAACTGTATCTTAGGCAACCTATATATACGATGACAATAATCAACGAACACGTGTTTGCAACAGGCGATGATGATGGTGTAGTAAAATGTAATAATAATTATTAGATTGATAACCAAACCCAAAAATCAAACAAGTCTTACATAATAAAGATTTTTTTAAGTATGGGATCTCAGGCGAAAGGGAAGTGAGCCAATATGTTCTATAAAAAAGGTAGAAGATTACATCAGCGCAATGATAACGAATAGAGAAGCCAAGTATTTGGCTTGTGCGAGTGGTGATGGTTGTCTGACGACTTTAAACATACCGGAAAGAAAGATGCATGTACAGGTATTGTAAAGAATAACGCGCAATTAGATGTCTGTCACGTGACACTAAGTTAATCTTGTGTATCTTATTGTACACAGTCTGAGGAGTACGATGAGGAACTTACGTGTCTTGGTTTGTTTAAAATGGAAAGTAAATTATTATTGACTACTAGCAAGGGAAAAATGTACATCTATAATTGGGGAGAATTTGGACTACATTCGGATGAATTTCCAAACATCACGAAGAAGGCCATAAACTGTATGATTCCTATAACAGAAAATGTTGCAATAACCGGAGGAGAGGACGGAATACTTAGGTAAGAAACAAAGAGAGACTTATATTATTTATGATATTTGCGTAATATTATCTTTATGAAATGAACAGGGCGACGAGTTTGTTTCCTCATCAGCATCTTGGCATAGTAGGACAGCATGATTTTTCTGTTGAAACACTCGATATCAGCAACAACGGAACTTTAATAGCGTCTTCTTCGCATAACAATGATATCAAATTCTGGAATGTACAATATTTTGAAACTTTAAATGTTAATCAAACCATAAAAGGTGGGAAGAAAAAACAACTGGTGCATAATCTTCCCAGCAGTCAGATTAAAAATCAATCAGATTTCTTTGCAGAAATGTAATTTTAATAATTTTTTGCAAATAAATTATATAATTAATATACTGCCTAATCCAAATATTTTAATAATCCTTTATATACCCCGTTTAAAGATAAAAATCATATTATCATATTAATAAAAATTTAAAGTTTAAAGATAAAAATCATATTTACACGTTTCACGCCTTTCAATTAAATAGACGAATAGTATTATATAAAACATGTGCATTTTATACATAATTGTTGGTACATAAGTAGTGTTACACAAACTTACGTGTGATATGAATAATACTCATATATAATACTTTGTGTTTCAATTATATAAACTTAAAATATCTTACAATACAGATTCGTACATATTCCACTACATTGATGGGTTGTTACATCGTAATATGTTTATATTTTGGGTATAGTATTTTATCAGTTCTGTTACCTATAAATTATTGAAGCTAATATAATATAAATTACCTATTTAACCATGTGTTATATATCATAATGTTACAAAAATGAAACAGATAAACTAAAATTGTACCATGCTTGCAAAAGTAGACGAAATACTTAGATTCGTCATTTGCATTCTCTTTTTGTTTTATTATTCTATAAAATTTGGCGTAAAAAGACATCCATTGTAACATTCGCGATTGAATTAAATAGGTAGTACAAACGATATTTCGACCAAGTATGGAATTTTTATAGTTACAAATATCGTTTTATAAAATAAAGAATAATTTTGTTCGAGTTGTATCATGGCGCAAGATGCAGTCTTTTTACAATTGAAGATTACTTATTGATGATTTATTTGACGTAAATATTCTGGTGCGTGATAATGCTGCTGTTGTGCATGCGCCAACGAGGGATGTATTGGAGGCTGAAAACAACGCACATGCTCCACGCTCGCCGCATCGCTGTCTCCGCTTTTCAAATATTTATTCAGCACGGCGAATATTTGTGAATTTAAAACTTGAAATCGCCTTATTCGATCCACCATTCTCTTCAAATGCTTTAAAGATAAACGACACGAATTGATAAATCTTAGTATAAAAAAAAACAGGTGAGATTTTTTACATTATATTGTATACTTACTATTCCTTTAACATTCTCGTCTTTACCGTCCACACGTTGCACTCTGAGGATGTGATAGCAGAAATCAAGCGCCTCGAATCTACGCTGCTGACCGAGAAGAACGATCATGGCGCATCCAGCCCAATGTAAGCCTTCACCGAACAATTCTCTGCGAAAGAAAATCACGATCGTTACAGAGTATCGATGTATCACGTCAAGATATACAATAAGTTATTATACTAACTCAACGGTAAACTCAGTTTCACCAACGGGAATGCAGTATACAAATTGAAGCGCACTCCAGAGTCTATGGAATTCCGTGCATTCGTCCACATTCATCACACCGTTGGCTGGCGGTGGACCGACCCAGATGGGATCGTCGAGAAAACTCCGTAATCTGCTGAGTACAACTTCGAATATTGACAAACCGCAGCACAATCGTTCGCGCGTCAACAGATCCCCTTCTCTGGCAATCATTGCTTGCTACAATGACAAATCACGCACAGATTACAAAAGAAGTGTAACTTATATTTCAAAAACGCGTTATATGTTCCTTACTTTTGCGGTGCCTAATTTATCTACATTCGGAACGATTTGCAAAGCCGCATATTTCGCTTCCAATCGTTTCTGCTTGGTTTCGGGTTTTTCTCCCTCTGAAAATATTGTGCGAAAATGATAAGTATTTCAATATCTCGCAGCTCTTTTTTTTTTTTACTCAAATTGTCTTATATTTACAAAGAAGTCCTCACCTTTGCAATAGGGTCTCGGTAGGATGTTTTGAAATGGTGCCGCGTGCAATAAATCGCACACTTCTTCTTGCGACAGTGCTTGTTCCATTAAAAGGCAAAATAGGATCGTATTGCCAAACTCACGAAAATTGTGAAATAATTCGGTCTTAGCATCGGGATATTGCACAATGTCGTTCAACTGAGCATGATAATAGCCCAAAACGCCAGGCGAGCCATAATCGTACCGCGGAAGTTTGCAAACTTTAGGCATCGCCTCCATTAAAGTCTTCGTGAATTGATGCAAGCTCCCTTGGATCAAGGTCTTGACAATCTTCAGAAGTTCCTCCATGACGACAGCTATCCCTTGGTAGCCAAGGAGCTTGCATATGGTGCGAAAGTGATGCGGGCCGACGAACCCTGAATACTGGCCGAACTGAGTGCTGTAAGCGAGATTTAATTGCTTGCTACCCCAGAGATAATGGTGGGACATTTGCGGAGGTTTATCTCTATGAACAGGCTGGACAAATTGTAGGCCACGACACTTGACGAATCTGTGAAATACATTAAACAGTGCACGAATAAATGATATCGAATAAAAGGACGACACAAAAGTGGTCGAGAATATAACACACACCTGTTTGTGGCAGCGTTATAACAATAATTTGGCAGGAAATCATAATTCAATTCCCAGAACACATGAAGAGTGATTCTTCCGTATGGAGCTAGAACATTGTGATTCGCCTCTCTGAACATGGCGTCGTACTCGTCCAACGCGAGCCACTTGCTTAAAAGCTTGTGAGTAAGACGATTGACTTGTAGCAGTCCATCCAGTTCCTATATAACGTTACACAGCGAGCGATTATTAGTTGCGGTGAATACTTATTTAAGACAATTGTAAATGAACGAGGCTTACCACGACTCCAGTTATGTCGCCGGATTCAAATTTGCTGATGGCCAAATCCAACGACTTTTGCATGTCCGCGTTAATGCGTTGCGTTATAAGTTTATTCAAATCGATACTTCTTCCCAATAACTGAACATGTCTCTGCTTCAACAATGTTTCGTATCTATTAGCGCGTGGGTATGGAAGTAGGTAGGCTCCGAGAGCCACGCACTCCACCCTGAATCGCTTGTCCAACAAAATGCTAGCTGCCAGCTGCTTGTAATGCGCAAAAATCTGTTCGCTAAGCTTGTAAACAAATTGATCGAAGCACAGATTCACTTCTGCTTCCACTTCGTCATAGAGAAATTGCTTGCGAAATATTGTCAGTGCGTATAACGCGCTGTCATTATATAAATCTAGAGGATACAAAACATACCTGAAAAATTAATAATAATAATAATACACTGCAAAATAATATATCATTTCAATTGAGAATTATTCATAAGAGCCGCTATCGCGCCATTAACATTTCGTTTTAATCTTATGAGAACTTACTCCATCATCGACGGTTCCTTACTTCTCAATATATGATCGGTCAATATCCACGGCATAGACATTTCGATGGGAAACTGAAACATATTTTGTGAAATGATTAAGTGCTTGGACATGAAATACGTACGAATTGTATCTTTATGCGATATCTCTTGCGATATGTAGACGCAAAATAATAATGTCTGAGACATGACTTGAACTTTTCGATATGTTTCGCATGCGGCATCGATAATTTATCACGCGGCAGTAAACGGGAAGTACCTGAATGCGTTTCTCCATGGTGATCAAATCGCTGCACTCTTCGTTATGCTGGTGACGTACTTGGCATTTCTAGTCATGGAATAAATGATAAAAAGTTATATTTTCGTAATAGTAGCTTTGGCGTATAGCAAAGAGTGTTAAAAGGGTTGTGAAACTTGTGTCCATTAATTCGTATGTACTATATATAATTTTTTTATGTGTTTAAATCAAAGGGTTTATTGTTACTAATTTCTTTTAATCGTAAAAATTATACAACACGGCGATTTCAAAATTATGTTGTGTGACTGTTTCTCAATTTAGAACAAATTAACATTATTATTTACCTGTATTTTTCTACCCATTGTCATTTCCAAATAAAATTCTCTGTACCACAGTTGTGACAAATCGCAACAGTTTTGCAAAGATTCTGTAAGAAAAAACAAAGAAAAGAATTATTAAAGAAAAATAAAAAATTAGGCAGATTTAAAATATACTCACCACTGAAATTTAAAAGGTAGCTCCAATAAAAACTGGTTTTATGGAATTGATCAATTTGGACGAGGTACTGGCCATCGATGTCTTTCCTCAGAGTACGCTTTCCACCGCTTTTATCGGCAATCAACGATTCCAGCATGGTTCGTACCATGTAAAGTTGTGTAGAAGACGGACCTATTCCATTTCATCACAATCGTATTTCAAACTAAATTTCAACTTGAAATTAAAAAAAAAAGATATGCAGTAGAAGACTGACCAACGTTCCTTCTCGGGACTTTAATGCCGAATCCATTATCTGGATCTTTCTTGCCTTTCAAAGCAGGATCTCCGAATGGTTCCACTCCAAAATGCCAATCGGCGCATGTTTCTCTAACTGAAACGATTATGCTGAAACAAAAGAAATAAGATAGAAAATCATTCTTATAATTCAAAATTATTTTATCATTAATTTTTATAAGCGCGTCTCAATTTCTGGAAAAAGAAATGAAAAATTTATACAATATAACTCTAATATAATTTACACTAACCTTCTGATTAAATCCTTCTTATTTTTAATCGCTTTCCTCAAAGGTTCACGCAATGCAAGTTGTACAAAATCTTGCAATTCGGCGTATATATTTCTACGTATTGCATCAATAAAAACAGTTTCCATACGTGCCATCAATACTTGCAGTCCCTTAATCATCGCTATAACTTCTATAAGGGCAAACTTCTCTTCGTCCGTATAGTTGTAACGTGTAGCCTGTGTGAGAGAAATAGTGTTAACCAAAGTGTAATTATTTGCCGATGGCTTAATAAACAAATATCAATATCGAGAAATATTATATAATGCACATGATTTTACCCGTTCGTATTCTTCAGCTTCTTGTGGACATTCCTTATTCATATGATGGTCAGTGGGATGCAGTAGCTTCCAACTATACAATTCTGTTACAACACTTGTCCATTGCGAGAGTAATTGCAATCCACGTAATGCCAGTTCCGAGGTATCCCGATTTTCTATGTCGCTTCGGCATTCCTTATATGTTGTAGTGACTTCGTTACTATATCTGTGTACAAAAATTGTCAAATATCACATTACCAAGTTAATATCAAGTCAAAATAAAACAGAGTATAAACATTACCTTGCCAATTCGCTAATATATTTTACATGATCTTCTCTGATCTGAGGAAGATGCACCATAAGATCAGCTTGCGGACTCATGCTATTTGACGAGGCGGATAACGGCCATTTGGATGCGTCAAAGTGTTTCGAACGTTTGATATAGTTGAACGGCGCGATTTGCATATCTCCGAATAACGGTACCACTTCCAAATTCTTGAAAATTCTATCAATTCTATCCAACTTTAATTTCTTCTTCTGATCGAGCTTATTAATGTTACACAATTCACTATCCATCAAGAATAAACCAAAGCCCATCACCTTCACCAACATGTGCTTCTCGTTAGGTGTAAGATACATCTTAGTTTCAAACATATGAACACAGATGTTGACAACATCCGCAAGTAATTCTTCGTATCCTGTAATCTTTTCTAGATTTTCTTTCACCGTATCACGAATTTTATTTTGTGTCGCCAAGAACATAGACAAATTCTGAGATTCTTGCAGTGTCTGAGAATCTGACATTACTTTCAAAAACTGTGCAGCTCTGAAACATTAAGTAAAATATATTTAAAAATAATTATACTTAAAAAAAATTTAAATCTTTTTTATAAATTACCTTCTGTATGTAGAATAATCGTTCTTCACACTAGACTTCATGTTCTTTAATTCATCCAATACAGCAAACATATTGATGAATTTCCCTAAAGTCAACAAATATGCTTCAGATACAAAATCTTTTCTTTTCTCGTGATGACATAATCGTTTAACTTCTGCAGAAAATCGTTCAATTGCTTTTCTCTAAAAAAAAACATAAATATACATATAAATGCAAAGAAAAAAATCGGATTAATCATAATTATAACAGTATAAATACACAATTTACACTTACTTGAAAATACATGAAGTTTAATAACTTATTCACTTCAGGTGCCAACACTTCTACTGTCTTTTCATAGATTTCCACTCTGTTTGGCTGTTCATTAGATTTTGGTTGCGGGATTGCACGTGAGCAACATCTCCATGTGTATAACATAACAGCATGCTCCAAGCCTTCTTCCAATAATTCATTCTAAATATTTTTTAAACAAAAGTATCTTAATAACACTTTATTCATACGTGCATCAATATGCAGTAGTGAAAAGATAAGCTTACCAAACTTGCATGTACAGTTGCTTCTTCTATATACTTTGCAATACCCGTTACAAAACCATTTCTGTCCTCGAAATTGGTATCAAAATTTGCTTGATACACTACAGAACACGGTTGAGCTTCTATACAAGGTTGCTCATCTGGTAGCGTAAATTCATCCAATACATCAACGTTCGATAGAGCATCGCCCAAAGTAACTTTGTCGGTCGTCATCTCGATCTATTTGAAGTAAAGATATCTTCCAGAAGAAAAATACAGATCCGAAGGTTAAGTATACTCCGGATGTTGAATAGTTTTACGTCCTGCTTATGTCTCCGGCGCAATCATTGTAACACGTATCGATATTGAAATTGTTGAATCTGACATTTAAAATCGCTCACTCTTACGAATGAAATCGAGACCGTGGGAGAAACTGTCAGAAAAAAGCCCGTAACCCCAACCAATTTCCGATTAGATTAATCAGTGACCATCAGTGACTAAGGTTCCTGCAGACAAGTAGTGACACCAGATTTGAGACGCAACAGCAAGCAGCAGGGAGGAAATACCGCACACATGCGCAAGGCGACGTCGTCACATCGTTCGCTCGGATCAGAAATTACACCCGGGAGCACACTACCAGCCATTCCAGCCAAACGCCATTCAGAGATCAACTGATAGTACATACCTCAGCATTACCTAAGTCGTCTGTTCAGAAATGCTTTGGCTTTAGGCATTCTCAATTGAGTGTGACTTTTGCATCCTGCAAAAGAGCATATACTAACATAAATTATATACAATATAACATATACACATATCATATATATTATATAAGGATGTCCTAAGTAAGATATTTTTAGAATACCCTAAAAACGTCCTAAAAAAGACATTGTTTTTTAATTTCTTTAACAATTGGAACATTTTGAATTTTGCAACAAAAAATTTCAAAAATTTTAAAAGAGACGTTTTAATTATTTTAGTATTTTATGAACATCCTGACAC